GGGACAGCCAGGTCCCCAGGGGCTGGAGGAGGGCCCCTCCACCCCCTGCTGCCACCAACCCCAGGAGCTCAGGACACTGGTATAGAGCCACCCTCCTGCTGCTGGTGGCATTGTCCCTAATACGCCCTGGGTGAACTGTTCCCGCTGTCTGTGCCCCAGGCTCCCTGGAGGGGAACAAATTGGGCTCCAGTATATGCAATCCCTTCCCTCGCCCCTGCCAAGCCCAGGAGACCTGCTCCTGTGGGAGGGGGACGGTGGGGTTGGGGATATTTCCCTTTCCCCCATGAAGAAAATCTCTCTTTCCAGGAAGATGTCCCCTTCTATTCTGTTCTTTTTTTCCTTGAGGCTGGGGACATAGGGCTGACCGCAGCCATGGTGGGGCGGGTCAGCGCCCCTGGCAGCCCCTCCCAGGCCCTGTGTCAGTTTGCCCCCTACCCACCTCCCATGGCTCTGACAGTGTCCCAAAGCCACTGCTTTCTTTCTCTAGTCCATTCCCCCACCCACCCACAAGGCATCTGTTACCAAGGTAACAGCAATGTCATCACTTTGGGGTGAGTGAGGGGGTGGAGCCCAGTGGACTGAGGGTGCTTGCTGTTAGGGGTTAGAATTTTGGAGAGATGAGCGCTGAGGGGGCCCAAACTATTCAAGGAGGAGCCTTTTGCTGGAAAGGGGCTTTGGGCACAGACTGGGATGGAGGCTGTTGCTGAAAGCTGGTGGGAAAGAGGGAGGATGGTGTTTGGAAGCAACTGGATGCAGGGTTAGAGGTGAGGGTGCCTCTGGTGAGAAGCGTGAGGGTGGTGATGACAAAGAGACGTTGAGGCAGGGAGGGTGGACCCTGCCTGTAACTCCTCGCTGGGGTCCATGGGGAGAGGTTTTCCGGCTGGGAAAGTCTAGAGCCCGCTGGAAGCTGCATGGGAGAGCCTGGGGCAGGGCTGAGCCCACACCGCCCCCTGCAGGCCGCACAGAAAGCAGCATTGGATGCACGGCAAGAAAGCTGTGCTTAGCGGGGGCCTTTGAGGGTCTGTCTACATTTGAGACTCCTAAGCCTTCTGATTGCCTGGAGTAATAATGGACATTGGGGCGCCTGATCCCCGCATTAGAGGTCTTACTGTAAATCCTGACCCAAGGGCGCAATAATTCAGGGGGCCCCTCTGGCCGACTTGGGGGTGGCCAGCAGTTCTAGGCAGAGGGAACAGCCTGGGAAAACGCGCAGAGGTGTGAAAAAGAACAGCCCGTTCTGGAAGCTGCAGGCAAACAAGAGGGAGGGGGAGTGGTGAGAAGGGAAGGCAGAGAAAAGTGGACAAATGGCTTTGAATGTTGGTCAGGAAGCTGACTTTTCCTGTGCAAAGTGGCTTCTCAAACTCACTCCCTGCCGCCCCACTGAGCAATTCATCCGGGCCATGGAGGAAGGGGTGGGGGCGGGCGGAGAGCAGGCAAAGTGGTTCACTCAGAACTTGAGAGAATTTTTTAAAAATATTTTTTATTTTATTATTATTTTTTAATATGTTTTATTACAGAGAGGAAGGGAGAGGGATAGAGAGCTAGAAACATTGATCAGCTGCCTCTTGCACACCCCCTACTGGGGATCTGCCCGCAACCAAGGTACATGCCCTTGACGGGGATTGAACCTGGGACCCTTCAGTCTACAGGCCGAAGCTTTATCCACTGAGCCAAATCGGTTAGGGTAGAACTTAGAGCGTAGGCCTGTGGACTGAAGGGTCCCTGGGTTCTGGCCAGGGGCACATATGCGGGTTGCGGGCTTGATCCCCAGTAGGGGGCGGGCAGGAGGCAGCTGATCAATGATTCTCTCTCATCATTGATGTTTCTATCTCTCCCTCTCCCTTCCTCTCTGAAATCAATAAAAATATATTTATTTATTTATTTATTTATTTATTTTTTAAACATATTTTATTGATTTCTTACAGAGAGGAAGGGAGAGGGATAGAGAGCCAGAAACATCCACTGGGGATGTGCCCGCAACCAAGGTACATGCCCTTGACCGGAATCGAACCCGGGACCCTCGAGTCCGCAGGCCGAAGCTTTATCCACTGAGCTAAACCGGTTCTGGCAGAAATCAATAAAAATATATTTAAAAAAAAGAAGATTGGGGCTTAGAGCCAGGCCTGTGTGTTGTCCAACCCCAGGGGAACTGTTCAGTGGGGTGCCCTTTGGAACTGTGCACCCAAAATCCTCAGAGGCATTTTGCTGGAGGAGGGACTGCCTCTTGGGGGAGGGGAATTTGTGTGCAGACACACTGACCACACAGGGGTTGCCATATGGGACTGTCAGCTTCCTCTGTGTGTGCACGCTCCTGTGTGCCTGTGCCTGAGATATCTAAAAAATCACGCTCTCATCCCTTCCTTTGTAAAATAATTTTGCCTGGAACTCAGGGCCCAGGCCTTTTGCCCTTGATGGACAAGATTCCACTGAGAGAGAGAGAGAGAGAGAGAGAGAGAGAGAGAGAGAGAGAGAGAGCGAGCGCCTGGTACATAGTAGGCACTTCATAGCATTTTGTTGAATGCATGAATGAATGAATGAATGAATGAGTGATCCTTCTCCTCTCAGCCCCTCTTTCTTTGAGGGAGGGGTAGACCTCACCCTTCAACTCTCCCACTCTCCAGGTTCGAATGTTGCCTTGGGATAGAAAGCAAAACCAAACAAGACATTTTGGTTAGAGGAGAAAAAGGACATAGAATTGTTATTTCTCAGCATTTTTTTTTTTTTTTTTTTTTTTTTTTTTTACAGATAAAAAGTTACTTCCTTGGCTTACGAAGCCCAAAAGGGTATTATTAGGATTGGTTTATGCCATGGCCTAGAAAATGATAGAACATTTGGGTGGGGAAAAATCCATTAAAAAAATTGCACCCAAAAAGTTGTCCCTGAAATTATCTGTGTGTGGGGAAGTTTCTGAGACAGTCACGTCTATATCCCCCAGGACTGTGACACTGGGGACCTTGCTGGTGCCCCCCGATACCCCAAGGGGAGCTCTTGGGAATTCAACCCTGGACAAAGATGCAGCACCACAGAATGACCGTTAATCCTCACTGCCACACCGGGTGGGAGGGAGGCCTTGGTCCCATTTAGAAGGTAAAGAGGGGAGTCTGCGCCATGCCCCTGCCTTGTGGGGGCCTCCCCCCACCACCCAGGGCCTGAGAATCCTCTGAGAGTGCGGGGTCCGCACCAGAAGTGTCCCAAGGCCTCTCTCGGCTTGAGGATGAGCTGTTCAAACTCTGTTCTGTGCTGGCCCAGGGGCCCAGCGAAAGAGTAGGGTGGGGTTGGGGGGCTGCAAGTAGCTAGGTTCCAGCCACTGCCTCAAGCCCAGCTGAGGAAAGAGAGAGAGAGAGAGAGAGAGAGAGAGAGAGAGAGAGAGAGAGAGAGAGAGAGAGAGAGAGAAAGGAAGGAAGAAGGAAAGAAAGAGGAGGAGGGAGAGAGGAGAGAGAGCCATGGAAAACCAGGAACAGGCCCAGCAACATCTGATGGGACAGAGTGCAGAGGGGTGGGAGGAAGGACTAGCAGCCAGTATGGGAGAGATGCACTCAGGGGCGAAGGGGGAGGGTGCAAGCAGGTGGAGGGTGGTGAGAGGGCAGGGAATTGGGTGCTGGAGTTGGGGTCCCACTCCCAGGACCTGCTCTGGGGATTGTCCTCAAAGGGGCCCACACCAGCCTCCACCTTTTCTACCTCCATCTGCCTGCTTGCCTCCTCTGCCCCATACCCTGCTCCCCCCAGGCCAGGACCAAGGTGGCCAGGACCCCTCCACTCCCCTCCCTTCCTGGGATCCTGCTCTGTCCAACCTTGGAGGGCTCCATGGGGGCCTCCTTGCCTGGACTCTACCTTTGGGCAATGGGTGGGCTCTCCAAGTCTTGGGGTTCTTATCAGGGGATCTTGGGTATTTGGGCTCCTTTGGCCTCCCTAGCAGGCATGTTCCCATCCCTTTCTTCTCCCTTCTTTCATTTTGTCTGGGTTTATGGAAAAGAAAGCAGGTACAGGACCAAGGGCCAGGCACCTGGAGATGGAGGTGCCCTGAGTGGGGACCCTTTGGCTTTCCCTGTCCCCAGGCAGGCCCTGCAGAGTCACCAAGCCTGGATAGCTAAGGTCACATGAGCTCAGGCGATGTGTTGAGAGGCCTGTCTCTCTGCTCTCTGCACGGCCCTTGTCTGTTTATACCAAACAGTAGTTGGGGGTTGGGCACAGGGGCCTGGGGCTGTCTGTGTACAGTGACAACAGGGGCTGAGCATGGGGAAGGAGGCCCTCCCCAAGGCAGACTGTATTTGTCCAAAAACACAGTCCTCCCCATACCCCAGGGCAGAGGAGGGGCAAAGAAACCACCCCCGCTGGAACTCCTCTCCTTCTACTGCCCTGGGAGGGGTCACCCCCAGACACACCGCTCCTCCCCACAGGCAGGCTCTCCCTGCCAGCACCACCCCCCGAATTGTTTCCACAGCAAGCTGGACTATGTTCTGTAAACTCCAGTCCCCTAGCCAGGCAGCCCAGCAAAAGCACAGGTGTCCTGCCATCACCGCACCTGTGTGTTGGGGTGGGGGAAGAGGAGGGTGGGAGGCCAGCAGAGAGCAAAGACCCTTTGTAGGTGCGTGTGATGGAGCATGCCTGCTTGTCCTGTCCCCTGGGAGGGGTCAGGTTCCTCCCATGGGGTCATGTGAGGGGTCCTAGCCTATGAGTCTCTGGGATTCTACGCGGCTCATGAATCTGGGGCCAATCTTGAAACCTAAGGGTGTCCCCTCCTTGTCCCTGGGCCTCTTGGGGAATGGTGGGGGAGTGGATGTGCATCCCTGTGACTTTGTTTTGCTGTACCACCACCTCCCCTTCAAGTTAATGATTGGTAGGGAGCCCTGGGGACACCATTCCCCCACCCCCTCCTCCCAGCTTAAACTGCCTAATAGGTCCAGAGTTTCCTAGAGCCCTGGGAGCTCAGCCAATCAGAGGCCCCAGGCCTGACCCCACCCTTTAGTGGGTTTGCTTCTATAAAGAGAGGCTGAGGTCCCCGGTGGAGGCCCAGTGCGTCCAGCCCCACCCAGCACTGACCTCTCTGTCACACACCTGGCCCGCTCCCTTTCCAAGATGCTGTTTTGGCACAACCAGCTGGAGCACCTGTGGCCCAGTCCCGGGGAATTGTACCCAGGGCCGCCAAGCAGCTTGCTCAGGTAAGGGCCAGAGCCCCTTCCCTCGGCCCCTAAGGAAGGCCCTGGTGCGAGCTGTGGTGGACACTAGGGCCTCTGTTTCAAGTATAGGGGGATGGGCTTCCTGCTCTTGGGTCCCTTTGGGGGTGGGGATGTGGTCAAATGCACCTGGGTTTAGTGGGTCCTGGGACATCTCACAACACCCTGAGCACCACCTACACAGGACACTTTGGTGGGGCATGGACTTGGTATCAGGCAAGCCCTGAGGTTGCACACAAGCAATTGATGCCAGATGTTTGTCGATGCTTGGTAGTATCTGGGATTTGCATCTTAACGGAGGTCTCCCAGAGGCCAAAGGAGTTGAATGGCGGCCCTGTTGGCCCTGGCTGCTGCTGGGGTGCCTGCTACAGGAAACAGGAGGCTCCCAGGAGATAGAACCTGGCAGAGAGAGTCAACGCCCCATAGGGGGTGGGGTGGACAGGGCAGAAAGCTGGCAGGGCCTCCTCTCCCTGCAGGGAGTCCCTGCCCTTGCCCTACCTGAAGCAGGAGGAGCTGCCCAACATCCCCAGCATGGAGCCTCCCTGCCCCTCATTCCAGTACGTGCTCTGTGCGGCCACCTCACCAGCCGTGAAGCAGCAGGAGGAGGCCCTGACCTACCTGAACCAGGGTACGCTGGGCCAGGGAAGGAAAGGGGTGAGTGGGGGCAGCAAGCTCTGGAGGTTGTGCCAGGGTGGGCTGGGGAGGCAGGCACCACCTCTGTCCCTCGGAGTGGGGCTCACACGTCCCCCAATCTCTCCCAGGCCAGTCCTATGAGGTGCAGATGCTCTGCAACTCCAAGCTGGGTGACGCCACCCAGTGGCCGCGGCTGCTGAAGGTAGGTGCATCCCCTCCCAGATCCGGCAAAGGCCGAGTCTGCCTGTCCCAGGGGCAGGAAGCCAGTGCCATCCCTGTGATGTCATTGTCGGGTAGAACCCTCTCAGGTCCACCTTTTAAGTTGACCTTCACAGCGGTGGGCAGGAATTGTGCAGGCAAGAGGCACAGAGAGGTTAAGTATTTTTCCATGAAACAGCCAGTAAGTAGCAGAACCGGGATATAGACATATTAGTATATTACAGCCCTAGCCCCCTAGCCGGTTTGGCTCAGTGGATAGAGCGTCAGCCTGCAGACCAAAGGGTTCCGGGTTTGATTCCAGTCCAGGGCACGTACCTTGGTTGCAGGCTTCTCCCCGGACTGGGCCTTGGTCGGGGCTCATGCAGGAGGCAACCAATCGATGGGTTTCTCTCACATTGATATTTCTCTCTGTCTTTCCTTCTCTCTAAAATCAATGGAAAAAATATCCTCAGGTGAGAATTAAAAAAGAAAAAAAAGGGGGGGGGGAAATATGTGTTATTCACACACATAATTACTTCTCTCAAAAAATTATTCATTTAGCCCTGGCTGGGTGGCTCATTTGATTGGAGCATTGTCCCATGCACCAAAAGGTTGCAGGTTCAACTCTGGCCAGGGCACATGCCTAGGTTTCGGGTTCCATCCCCATTCTGGGCATATACCAGAGGTAATGGATCGATGTTTCTCTCTCCTCTCCTCTCTCTCCCCTCTCTCTCTCTCTCAAATGAAAAGGAGAAGGGAACATGTCCTTGGGTAAGGATTTTAAAAAATTATTCATTAAGCTCCCATTTATTTCCAGAAACTATTCTCTGAGCTAGAGATTCAGGAATAAAGAGACAGATGCAATTCCTTTCCTCAGGGGGCTTGCATTCTAGTGAGTGAGACAAACTTGTAATTACACAAATTGTATGCAATTACAAGTTAATTTACAAATTGCAAAATGATAAGTGCTGCAAAGAAAAGACTGCTAGCACTCCCCTTTCTAGAGCGCGCCTGCCTTTCTCCTCCCCTCCTCTCCCCGCACAGGCCAGCTACCGTTGCCTTTCTCTCCTAAGCTCCAAGGGCCCCTCTTTTGCCTCCATAACTTGATTCCTGAGCCGACACAGCCCAGCTGGTTTGCTTCTTTCTACCTCTGTGATCTTCTTTTTTTTTATATATATATTTTTTATTGATTTTTTACAGAGAGGAAGGGAGAGGGATAGAGCGTTAGAAACATTGATGAGAGAGAAACATCGATCAGCTGCCTCCTGCACACTCCCCGCTGGGGATGTGCCCGCAACCAAGGCACATGCCCTTCACCGGAATCGAACCTGGGACCCCTGAGTCCGCAGGCCGATGCTCTATCCACTGAGCCAAACCGGCTTGGGCCTCTGTGATCTTCTAAGTAAACTTTTGCTTATAGTTAAAAAATATGTAGAGAAGAGCCCGGTAGAGTGATTAAGAGTGGGAAGGGATTAACTTCCTTATTTTACAGACGAGGAAACTGAGGCTCAGGGTCCCTAAGTCACCTCCCCAGTTTCACAGAACGGCAGGTGGGCATCTGCACACAGATCTAGTGATTCTAAGTCCCATGTTTCCTGGGAGTGGGAAGCAAGGTGGGGAGAGCGTGGGAGGGTTGGCCTACCCCAGCTATGGGAACTGTTCCAAATGCCTACGAGCGCCACCTTCCTGTGCCCACAGAGTGTGGTGCGTGTGGTGTTCCATGACCGGCGCCTGCAGTACACGGAGCAGCAGCAGCTGGATGGGTGGAGATGGAGCCGGCCTGGGGACCGCATCCTGGACATTGGTGAATGGGGAGGGACCCTTTAGGGCCACCATCTTGAAAGCCCTTAGAGGTGGGGAGGGCTGAGCCTTGCTTCCTGCTTGCTACTCTGTGTCTGCAGATGTGCCATTGTCCGTGGGGGTGATAGAACCCCAGGTGCTGCCCTCACAGCTCAACACAGTGGAGTTTCACTGGGATCCGACCAAGAGGACCTCTCTCTTCCTGCAGGTGAGCCTGAAGCTGGGAAAGGAAGGTGAGGTTAGGTAGGGGTAAGGGGACAGTAAAAATCAATCACTTCCAGAAAACACCTTGGGGGGAAAAATATGGATAAAGGTTTATGGACTCTCACCATAGGGAAGGACTAGTTAAACATTAAAGCAATGGAAGAAACTACAAAACACAGGACTTAGCTTCTAAGAAAGTCATGGTCTGCAATACCTAGGCAAAATTAAAAGGAGACCCCAAATGGGAAAAATAGTTGTTAGTGTGTTATAGCCTTAATAATAAAAAGTTATCATCCTATGTAATAAAAGGGTAATATGCAAATTGACCAAATGGCAGAATGACCGATTGCTATGATGCACATTGACCACCAGGGGGAGTGCCGCTCAGCCACAAACCAGGCTGATGGCTGGCGAGTGCAGAGGTCGTGGTGGGAGGCCAAGCTGAGGAGCCCCCTCCCCCCCCCAATGCACGAATGTTGTGCACTGGGCTTCTAGTATATCAATAAGAAAAAATAGGAGACCAACAGAAAACAGGCAAAGGATATAAGTAGACAATTTATAAGGATACTAAATGTAGACAGGTCAACCTCATAAAATGCTAATTAAAATGTCCTATATATCATGGGGAAGTAAAGTACAACATAGGGAAAGAACCTAATAAAGTTACACTTGAAGAATAGACGCTGCTGACAGGTGACAGGCAGGCCACAGGTTTTAGGTGCAATCCCCCTGGAAGGTAGGTGGGGCCGGGAGTCACACTGCTTCCTCTTTGCTTCTTCTCCGCCTCAGGTTCACTGCATCAGCACTGAGTTCACTCCTCGGAAAAAGGGTGGAGAGAAAGGCGTCCCCTTCCGCCTCCAGATTGACACTTTCAAGCCCAGTGACAAGGGGCTTCCACCTGAACACCTACATTCAGCCAGCTGCCTCATCAAGGTGTTCAAGGTGCAGGCAGCACCGGGCCCCTTCCCCTCCCTCTCAGGGCTTGTCACCCTGCCTCACTGGCTGTGTGGATCCTGGCCCTGCTTTGCTGTGGATCCTCAGCCTGTGGTCCCTGCCCTGGGTCTCTTTCCTTCTCTGTGCACAGAGGGATGGGGCTGGATGTCTTTCTTAGAGCCCCTTCTGTGATGAGAAGAGGAGGGGGCCTCTGAGATTCCCATGTCTCCCTCTTGTAGCCCAAAGGAGCTGACCGGAAACTGAAAACCGACCGGGAGAAGGTTGAGAAACAGCCCCTGCACGAGAGAGACAAGTATCAGGCTGCCTGTGAGAGCACGGTCTTTGTGGAGGTGCGTGTTTTGGGGGGCAGGGTTGGAGAAAAGGTCCTCACTTACACCTGGGAAACTGAGGACTGGAGGGCTGTGCCTGCTTCAGGATGATCACAGCCCCCCCGGGATTCCACCCTGTTTCCTGCAAAGACAAACTTCAAGACCCCCTGAAGCGGCCACCTTCCAGGCCGCCTCTCCTGTGCCTGCCACCACTGCCACCTCACTGCTGCTCCCTCTGCCCAGAGCAGCTGCGTTCCTGCTGCTGCTTCTGCCAGCTCCGCCGGGAGCCTGCCCAACTCCCCCAGGCAGCCCTGCAGGCTGGTTTGCTCTCTTGCTTAGTGTGGAAACTAGATCTGCTTGTCAGCTAATTTTGTAGATGCTAACATTTTTAAAAAAGTGTTTTTATTGATATTAGAGAGAGGAAGGAGAGGGAGAGATGTTTCCTGCACAGCCCTCCCAGGCATGTGCCCTGATCCCTGACCAGAATGACCGAACTGGCGACCTCCTGGTGCATGGGTCCACACTCAACCACTGAACCACACTGGCCTGGCCCTTGTCAGCTCTTAACAGGCAGTTGGAGGGAGGTGAGGGACAGCTGCCACTGCTCTCCAACTGTCCATGCTGACCTTACTGTTTGCCCACAGTGTTCACCATGGCCAGAGCCCAGTGCAGAGCCCCACCTGCCTCTCAGCCCTCAGGCTCTGACCTCCCCCCACTCCTGCAAACTCCTGTCCCCGGAGCGGTGAGTGGGGATGCGCGCCTCCCATCAGCCCTTTGGGGCGCCAGTGAAGAGCTCCTCAGCCAAGGCCTGGGGGAGGGGCAGGGTTGAGGGGTGTGCTGAGGCTGGGAAGAGGCTCAGCCCGGCTTCTGGGGAACATCTGGGATGACACCTGGCAAGCTCTGCCTCCCAGGGTGGGAGACTGGCTGCACTGCATCCAAGAGGCCCTGACCCTCTGCTCCCCCACAGGCTCTGCTGCTCACCACCATTCATCTTGGACACTTTGGGGGGCAGCCCAGCTGAGGTGAGTCTTCCCTTTCCACGCCCCCATCCCCGTCCACTCTCCCAAAGCCTCAGCAACCTCATCTCTCGCTCCAGAATAGGGCGGCCCTGCCCCCTGGTGGAGAGATGTGCTATGGCCCTACATCACAAAACTTCCCTGCATGGACCGGCACTTCCCACCAGCAGAATGAGCCTCCCCCTCAGACTCGGGCCCCCCAGGGGCAGAGGTTGTTTCTCCTCCCCTCTGTTCTCAGTCCGTGGGCTCATGGGGTTCCCTGGACTGCCCTCTCCATGCCTCAGGATCTGAACCCTGGAGCCTCCATCCTGGAGACGCAGCAGTGGTTACATCGCCACCGGTTCTCCAGCTACTGCCGGACACTAGCCAATTTCACAGGTGAGGCTGGGGTCTTGCAGGGATCCCGCTGTAGGGAAATGGGGGTGGGGCTCTCAGCAGGAAGCCTGCCTCTGTCCTGGCTTTTGTGTTCCCTTCAACTAACTTTTATTTAGGACTAAGAGTTGCCAGGCACCATGCTTGCTAGGTTTTTTTCTCTCATATTATCCTATATAATTTACACACTCGCCCTTGAGAACAGGGCTCAGAGGGGTTCAATACGTTGCGGAAGGACACACAGCTAGCAAGTGGCAGAGCCGGGTGTGGCTCGAAGTCTACCCGGATATACTAGGGCTATTTGTAGACTCATGTTGGACTGTGTCCCTTGCCAGCCTCGATCCCAGGCCTCTTCCCCAATCTGGCTCTGTCTGCCTCTGCAGGCACCGATCTGCTGAAGCTTACCCGGCAGGACCTTATCCAGATCTGCGGGGCTGCCGACGGGATCCGCCTTTTCAATACTCTTAGAGCCAGGTGCTGGGCACTGCCAACAGGGTCCCCTGCCCTCTGTAGTGGCACCTACCAATTCAGCCAGCAGAATGTTCAAGTCAAGAGGCAGCTTGAAGGCCACTTACTCCCCGCCCTCGTTTTATACAAAGGAAGAAACTCTGGCCCAAAAAGGACACTGATCTTCCTGAGGTTACAGACTGGCAGGGCTGGGCTAAAAAACCAGGCTCCCGTGACCTCTCCTGTGACCATCCCATCTGCATCACGCAGTTTCTGGGGACAGATTTTCCTATCTCCTCTCCCCCAGAATCTACCGTTCATTACAAGCTTAAGAAATGCGTGGCGATTTCTCTCCCTGGAGACCTGGGAGGGGCGGGGTCTCTCCCAGGGATGGGGGCTCCAAGCGGGAGCTGATGGTCCAGATATGAAGGGCTGAGACTGTTTTCCTGGCCCAGGCCCATCCGTCACCGGCTGACTTTATATGTGGCTCAGGAGGCCTCTAGGCAAGAGAACGAGGTTCCTAAGATCCCTGAACCAGGTAAGGTTCTGGCCTCTCCAGAAGAAACGAAGGTGTGGCCGCACGAACCCTCTTCTGGCCTGGGGAAAGGGTGGTGCCCCACCATTCCTGGGACCCGCATGCCCTCCTTGCATTCCCCTGCCTTCCATGACCAGACTAGTCCTCTCCTTCCAGGATGTCTCCCTGGGTTTATTGCTCCATGCTCTCTAACCCCTTCTGATTTTGTCATTCTATTAGCATGTGGGATTAGAACATTATCATCTTATTGTTCTTGGGTTTCGGTCCTTCATATGTAGATTTCCCATCTCCTCTTTCATCTGGGGCCTCCCCTCAGTTGAGGAATAGGAGGCGAAGACAAAGTGGGTTTATAAGCCTTTTTCTTTCTTTACTCTCTCCCCTCACACCCACCATGAGGCGGTCACCATGCCCTCTCATCCTCCTGGTATCTGGGGTTCCCTCTAGACCTCTCTCCCCACTGACCCCCTGCTACCCACATCCCAGGTTTTTATCAAGAGATTTCTCTGGATGAACTCAGCGCCATTGAACTGATGGGAAAACTGGCAGAGCTCTTGAACCTCCCAGCCAATCAGATCCACCGCCTCTTCCATCAGGGCCCTGGGGGTATCCTCATTCTCCTTAGTGACCAGGTAAGGGGCGGTGGTTCCCTATAAGGCTCCACTAAGGCCTGGTCACTCCTTTCCCTCTCCCTACCTACCCTGGCTTATTCCGTTGGGCTATAAGAACGGAATTATCTTAGTGATCCCTTCTCCCTTGCAGGTGGTTCAGAATCTTAAGGATGAATCGTACTTTGTGGCCGTGGTGAAAAAAGGTAGGAGTTTTAGAGGGAGACACTAGCTTTGTGTCAGAGACAGAGATCGTATAGCAAAAAGACAGCTATTTATTGCTCAGGAAAAACGTGACTGAATAAATGCATTCTCGTAAGTGTATTACCATGGAAGGTAAGCCCCCCCCCCCCTTCCCTAACCCCCACAAACTGCAACAATCAAGCGGAAGGGCAGGTGCTTGCTGACCAGTCAGCTGGTAGGCCTGGTTCTCTGGATGCCTGCCCGGCCCCTCCCGTGATGCTCCAGTGCACAGGGAGGCTTCCTGAAAAGGTGGATTGGCGGCGAGGGGAAGACGACTGGGGTGTGCAGGTGCGCTGCAGGCCGCTCGTTGTTGGGAGTGCATCCTCGTGGTGGTTGGGGGCCAGCCTCACCCCAGTGGTGCCCTTTTTACCGCTTTCAGTGCAGAATCCAGATGGCTACTACCTGGTGCTGACCTAAGCTCAGGGACGCCCTGCTGCAAGAGGAAACTGATGCCAGCCTGGTTCTCCAGAAAATCCTCGATGCTTCCCCAGGCTCCAGGTGAAGAGCCGGACCGTCCTGTATCCCTCCCCTGGGGAGGCAGCAAGCAGCCCCCAGGCTCACATTTCTTACTGCTCGGCAGCAAGTTATTAGAACCTGGGACACAGCTTCCCAAGATGAGCTAAACTGGCCAAGCCTTGTGAGGCAAGAAACCTGGCAATATGGATGAGCTTTTGCCCCAAGCAGTGCTGCTGAACAATGAGTGAATTTGTGTTTAAAATTCTACTCGCCCCTTTTTTGCAAATTAATTTAAACAGGTATATATACTTAATGCTTGTTCTATTTTCTTGATGATATGGTCCTCTCGAGAATTGTCTTCTGCCTAAACTATAGACTAGGGCAAGGGATAGAGTCTGGGATAGGAATAAATAAATCTGGCTGAATTTTTTTTTTTATTCCGATTAGGGCAACTATTCACTAAAGCCTCCGAAAGACCATTCAACTATCAAATTGCTGTGCTTATTCAAACTGCAGTTCTAGAGACTTGGGAAATTCTGTTACTCTTCTTAAACACTGAGGCCATGGGGTCTTATTTTTAAAATGCAGTTGAACTTATTAATCTTTGAATTTTTAGGTCTTCCCCTATATTAAGGTCATAAATATAAACAAACATTTTCAAAGTTTAAATTTTAATTTTGCATTTCACTTTTAGGTCAATCCACCGGAAACTGATTTTTGTGTGTATATTTTTCCATGCAGAAAACCGGTTTTATATTAAGTGCTTTTTAAAACGTGATGTTATTCTGATTTTTTTTCTTTCTCTTTTTAAAAAAATATATTTTACTGACTTTTTACAGAGAGGAAAAAGAGGGATAGAGAGTTAGAAACATCAATGAGAGAGAAACATCAATCAGCTGCCTCCTACACACCCCCTACTGGGGATGTGCCCGCAACCAAGGTACATGCCCTTGACCAGAATCGAACCTGGGACCTTTCGGTCTGCAGGCTGATGCTCTAGCCACTGAGCCAAACCAGTTAGGGCTGCTTAATTTTTTCATTCCTTTCCCTCAAAATTTTATCACACACAAAAAATAAAAAATACTGGAGAAAACCTATATGCATGGATTGGAAAACAGGCCAAGGCACCCTCCACTTAATCCCTTTTTAATCATTTACTGGTCATCTTTGGGGAGTTTTAAACCAGGTAGCCTCTGGCTAGGGAGGGCAGGAAGGGAGAAGGCTCTGAACACTGGCTGGAATGGGGGTCCTGGCCGGTGGTTAGAGCTTCGGCTCACAGACTGAAGGGTCACGCCATCAATTCCAGTCAAGGTCATGTACCTTGGTTCCAGGCTGGATCCCCAGCCTGTCAGGGTGTGTGCGAGAGGGAACCAATCGATGGGCCTCTCTCACATTGATGTTTCTCCCTCTCTGTCTCCCTCCCTCCCTTCCACTCCCTAAAAATCAATGGAAAAAATATCCTTGGCTATTAAAAAAAAAAAAAAATATCCTTGGGGAAGGGGAAGTCTGTTTATCCTTGAAGACCTAAAAGGTATCTCCCTCAACATACAGGGCTGATCCAACATGGACAACTGCTTGTACCCCTGTAACCCCGGCGGCCTCACCCAAATTACCAACCCAGACCAGGCCTTTACCACGTGCAGAATGAGTGGATTTCAAGAGAGGTCTATGAATCCACAGGTTCCCTGAGGGCATTTCATGGCAGGATAGACACCCTGAGATGTAAATTTTGATTGCAGATTTGGCTCCCCTGCTCATCTCCACCAAAAGGACAGGGACCCCATTTCATTAACCTTTGTGTATCTCTCAACTGGAGCCTCCAGCACAGACCAGACACTGAAATATTTGCTGAAATGAAGGGAATAAAGCAGGTAGCATGTGAATGCTTACAATGTGCCATCATTACCTCTTTTAACCTTTACAGCTCTAAAGCAAGATGAGACAGCAGGTCGTTCAGGTCATTTGGGTGGAGGTCAGGCAATGACTTGGGAGCTTGTGTTTAACCATCTTCACTCCTTCCTAGGCGAGGTAAGGGCAATGGACTGCACAGACAAGGAACTCAGGATGAATTGTTATATCAAATTAGAACAAGAATTTTAGAAATCCTGATTTATATTATGTCTTGTTTTTCTCAGACAAATAGAGTTGTGTATTAAAAAAAGGCTACTAAAAAGTTAGTAACTAAAGGTTATTAGTTAAATTCTATTAAAAAATATAAGGGTGCCAAAAAGCAGCCCCTTCACTGAGCCTCGGGAGCCTGTGCAGCTCTAGGGTTCAAGAAAGTAGAGAATCACAGCTCCAAGTCAGGCTATTTCCGCAGCAAAATGAAAAGTCTTCACAGCTTATTTCCTTTAATTACATCATAAAACGAAATTAGAACATACAGGAAACAAGAATAGTTACATAACAATTTACTTTATATATTTATATATAAAAAACATTTCTTTTTAGTCCAAAGATTTTAAAGCAGAAGGAATCCTCTACTGCCACCTTGGCTTTTATTTATTTTAAATAACCCTCCCTCCCCCGCAATCTCAAGTGCCAAAAGTAGTAGTGGAAACAGTCACTTGGACAGCGAATGGAACCTGGCGTCGGGGTCACCATGTGGGGAGCTGTCGATGCCAGGGACTGGCAAAGCGCTGGGCGGGCCTAGTGGAGAAGCAGTAAGCAGCAGCTCCCACACACTGAGCACTCCAGGGCAGGCCAGAGGCTGGGGGAGGCTTAGGCAGGCTAGATAATGATGTTTGGTACCAGACCCTGCCAGTCAATCTCCTCTGCATTTTACCCCCTCAAGGGCTGGGAACAGGAGGGGGCCACTGGGTACAGGGATGAAACAGCCTGGTTTGAAGATAAAAATTTCTCCCACAGCACCATTTACCCATCCGTCTCTGTCCCCAGGCAGAGTCTGACGGGCAGGGGTAGTCCTCACAGTTCTCTGAGCTCTGCACAGGCCGCATTTCTCAGGTCTGTGCTCTCAGGGTCACTGGAAGGTGGGCAAAGGTGAGGGGAGCAGTTGGGATATGCCCAAGGCAGGTTACTTGGAAATGATTCCTGGGAGGAAAAAGGAGGCGGCCAGAGTGGGAGGCATTTGAAAGTTGAATCATAAAACAGGAATGGAGAAAGGCAAAACTAAGAAGTAACCCTCAGTGCTGGCAGCTACAGAGCCTCAGGGGCCAGCTCCAGGAGAGGCACCCCAACCCACAGAGGTTGTAGAGGTTAGTGTGTAACTTGGGAGTTGGGTGAGGAGGGGAGTAAGAGAAGAAATCTCAGGCTCACCTCTCCTGCACTTGTTAGAAATTAACAGTCATCAGAGAAAAACAGATAAATTATTCTTAAGGGAAGAAGAAAACTGTTGTAAACCCAGGAAAATAGCAGCAAAGGTTTCACTTATTACAGATCTATCACATAGCACTAGGAAAGAAAATCATTCAAGTCTTTAGGGGGGAAAAGGTAAAATAATCAAACCATGCCGATTAGAGACTCCTTTTCAAGTTAGGATTTTCTAAGACTTTAGGTTCTCATTCACTAGTGCCATAAAAAAACAAAAACAGAATAATGACTTCTGGTGCTTGGGAAGAGTTAGGCTAAGATAAGAACCACATACACGTGTGTGAACAGCAGTGTGGTACGGATCTGAATAAAAAACAGTAGTAAGAGACAATGACAAGCAAAATTTAGTGGGGCAAACTTCTTCCGCTTTAATATAAAAGACATCACTTCAAAGATTCCCCAGGGTTCCTGGAGTATGGCAGGAGAGAAAAGGTATGACACCTCTTCCCTACCACCTCTTCCTGGGTGGCGATTCGCATTGCCTACCTGCTCTTGCCCTGGCGAACACCGTGCCCAGAGCCGCTGGGAAGCCCTGGGGTTTCTTTCAGTGGTGCCAATCCCCATGGGATGGCTCTGGTTAGGTGTGTGTGGGAAGCAGAAGGAAAAAGGGCCTGGAGTTCATTAGATGGAGAGGAAAGTAAATCTACTCACATGTGAAGCAGTTGTTTCTACATATTCAGGACAGATGCTTGTACCTGAAGCAAAGTACCCCACAGTTCCAGAACTGATTTTCTCCTTTAATTTGAATCTCACCTACCATTTCCCCACCCCAATTCTTCAAAACAAGACACTGAAAAATAGAGAAAATACACAGGGTCAATTGATATAATTCTGGTCGCTCATGCTTCTTTTTCCTAAAGGGCAGTGAACTACCATGGCTGAGCAAGCACTAATCCTCAACACCTGGGAATTGAACCCTACCAGGGGCTTACTCAAAAAGCACATGCAGCAGCGATGGAAGAAGTGCACTACGGAATTTCTCTTAACATCCCCCATGTGAGCTTGTCCAACACACGTTTTTCCACTGAAAATTGAGTGTAACTCCCTTGGGCTCCAAAGATTCGCTCAGACTTAGCTGAGAGATTTTTACTAACTTTCCTAAGGACCAAAGGCTTCAGAAATGTACAACTGATGTGCCTAAGAATAAAAATGGACAAAATAGGGAGACTTGCCTGAGGAGGGAAGTACAGAAGCCCTTCATGCAGAAAACTCACTTGCCTCAAACGGTTGTGTCTGGCAGGAAGAAGGTCCCAAGTGAAAAGGCAAGCTTAGAGAAGCATGTGTTTGCTCGAGAACCAAGATGGTAAGTCAGGGCACCTGGGTATAGCAAATACAGCCCAACTTTATTACCTGGTTAATTATACACTATTGACACGGTCTTTCACAGTCTTTTGTGTCTTTCAATCTTACAATTAAAATTTATGATGGAAATAAAGGTGAGGAGAGGCTGAGACTCCATATGTCCCCTCACCCTCCTGCTGCTTTAGGGTTCTTTGGTCCCAGATCATAATCATTGTAAGGGGATGGACAGGCTCTGCTTAAAGACCAACCAAACATCCTAAACCTCTTCTCAAATAAAACTTGGCTAATTCACATTGTTTTGGTCTGAGGTGGTTAAAGATCCTAGAACTGGTGGGCAGCTAGAGAAGGCAATCGTTTTATAGAATGTTCCAGAAGCTGAAAGCATACCACGGAAAGAGTGTCAGCCAGGATGCACAATAGGGATAGAAACCTAACCTTAAAGTATGCAAACAAGCAGGGAAAAGGCAGACTAGACCATTTTCCTCTCTCGTTGGTGGTGACTGTCATGAGCAGTCTGTGATTTTCAGCACAATAAATAGTAATCGGCCAAGGGTCTGCAACGGTGATCTGCAAGTGTTCCTCCTATTCAAAACAACAGGGTCGCCTAAGGACATGCTGCCAATACAGGCAGGCAGGTAGCCACCCTCTTCTTCCCATAACATTGTCGCATTTCCTAACAACTTCAAACCAAGATAGGCTCCATGGCATACTTTGTGTAGCCCCCATGGCATTAGTGGGCTATTAAACCAGTAACAATGCATTTTACAAGGCAATTAGAACATAAGCACTTGACTGCTGTAGCATTATAGCTACACTGAACTGTTCAGTTTGGAAAACCCAAAATAAAGCATCATAAAAACATTTACCAGGTTTCTCTTTAAAATGTGTGATCTAAGGAATATATGAAATTTCTGATTTATATGTCTGCTGAATCAGCTTAACTCATGAATGTGGAAATACACACACATACACACAAAAACATTTAAGAAATACTTTTACATCCACTAGAGAGCAGAACAGGAGAAAACTTTTTACATGAAGTAGTATAATGTGCTTTCATATTCCAAATATTGGAAAAAAAAATAAAGCCAGATCCCCTTGACTGCTCATATCCAAGTTTGATTTCTAATTTAGCAAGCAAATGTCAAAGACCACCCTCAAAGACCATCTGGTGAAAAATGGCCTGAGCCACTGACAGTCACGGATTCAAGACTGCCCAGGATGGTTTGCCTCGATCATAATAAGGACCCAAAGTGGAAGCTAGACTGGAGACATTTCAGAATCAGCATCACTGGGAGTGAGATGGAGGCTTTAAACAGACAGTGAGGATGGGTGTAGGAGGAAATGGGAGGCGTCAATTAAAAAAAAAAAAAAAAAAAAAAGCTGGGCCCTGGCCAGTGTGTTCAGTGGTTAGAGTGCTGACCCATGCATGGAAGGGTCGAGGGTTTGATTCCCAGTATGTACCTGGGTTGCAGGTTTGATCTCCAGACCTGTTGGGGCATGTGTGGAAGGCAACCAATCTATGTGTATCTCTCTCTCCCTACTCCCTTCCTTCCATTCTCTCTGAAAAGCAATGGAAAAAATATCCTTGGGTGAGGATTAAAAAAATAAATAAAAAGCTGATGGGGCCAATGAAGAGGATATAAAAGGTACTGATGTAGCAAATGATGCTGGGAAATGTAAGGGGAGAAAAGGCTGCTTGGAAAAAAGATGATCTGGATGCTGAATAACTTTCGCCAGAGGACACTGCAATAATTCCTCCTGGCTATCGGCAGGTTTACGGCAATACCTTTGAGGGTACCTTCTTCCTTCTCCCAAATCTCCTCTCTTCGCGCTGCACCTTTTCATTACAGAAGGCATATTGTGGAGGAGCTGTGTAGCCAGACAATAAGCTTTCCCTACGGAAGAGTTACACCTGTGAAACCTTACTGACTTTTCAAAAGTGTTCCTGATGTTGAAACAGGAAGCACTGTGTCCAGGTGACAGGACCCTGTCCACCTGACCAAAACTTACCATGTTCTGGGTTTTCAAAGTCCTGGTACATTTCATCAGCTGGCGTGGTTGCAGACTGGCATAAAAAAAATATTTCAATCCAAGCTTGATGGGCCTGAAGTTTTCTTGAGAAAGGAACAGCCTCCTGCCTGACTACATACTGCTGCACACTCCAGGCTTTTACCCTCTCACTCCACTCTGTTCTCAGCCCAGACAGGTAGGGGTTGCCTGCGCAAGTCCACATGGACCTGCATGTGGGAACACTCTTTGAGGAGAGAAACAGCATTTCCAAGACACTCATGTACTGGTGAGTAGAATCTTTTAAACAAATATATATATATATATTTTAAAGTAAAGAAGTACCCTTAATAGCCTCATCTATTGGGCAATTCAAATCCACACTCACTAATCAATCAGGGTTTTATAGCCAATTTGTTCAGGCATTATAAAAAAAATTATACATTAGAACAGATGGGCCCTAAATATTTCTTTTTAGTTTTGTTTGAATGAGTGACCTGGGGATCTGAATATTATGAACTACATCTGGAAGTGTGTGTGCACATGTATATATTTATAAGTGTGGGGTACAGCCAGGAGAGTGAGTCTCACTTTAAAAAGTATATTCCTTACACTGTAATTTGAAAAGGGGAAGGGGGAATTAAAAAATATAATTTTAGTTTTTAAAAGGGAATAATTAAATAGGATTTAAAATAAATGTAACATATTAAATACTGGTGGGTTGTACACATTTATGGGATCCTTTATGTGAAGGAATAAATCACACGTAATTCTTACAAAAGTCATCCTATTTAAAAAAATCACACATGGTTTTTAACCTTGGGGTTTAGAAACCTACTTCTAGTACTTCAGAAACTCATTTAACTCACTGCAGGATTTTGTGTGTGTGGGGGGAGGGGAAGCATCTTTGAGTCATGGGCACTGAATACCCTCCCAGCCCTCAGCTCTGATGACCAGGCTGGGCAGAGGCACTGAGACCCCTACTTCCTCTTCCTCTCAATGTTCTTTCTGCTGCCCCAGTTCCTTGACCTGGCTACTCTTGTGTTTCATTCATGGGAAGTCTGGAGAACAGGAGATATGGCTGACAGGTTCCAGTCCTTTGAGGCTCCGATATTAAATGATACCATCAACACCCTCATACAGCTGACCAGCTTTTACAGGGTCCCTGACAGGCTGAATAGGGGTGGGGGAGAGACACTGATGGGCTAGATGGCACAGTGCCTCTAGTAGCATTTCTGCTAAAATAAAACAACCCCAAAGACACAAATCAGAGATGTCACTGATCACACCTAGATTTCAGTGAACATACAACGTGCCTGAGTGTGGGTGGGGGGGTGTCCAGGCTCAGTTTTGGGATTTGCCATCCCACTCTTTACTAATAATGCGTTTTGTTCACCTCATTAAATTAGCAGAGCCTGATGGAAGGAAAAATGGAGTATTGGGCATATCATGCATATTATCACGTATCACAAGATATAACAGAAACCAAAGAGCAAAGTTTACTATTATCAAAATAGTTTTAGCTTAATTTCTTCTCCTAACTTTTCTTGCTTTTATAACTGTTTCCCTTCAGACTGGCAAAGATTCAGGCAGGGGCCCCTAATGGTAAAATTTAGAATTAAAAAAATATTTATTGATAATGTCTCTTTTAAAAATGTTTGGTAACCCCAACTAATCATCCAAAATGCAAACTGTAAACACAACAACAGCAAGAGAGTAACAACTGAGTGTGAGTAAGCAGACTATGAACAGGTGACAGACTGGGCAAGAATGCAGGAGGGAGCAACAAAGGACAAAGGTGCACAAGTGTGCTACAGACAGTGACAATTTGAGTGAATAAGTAATCACATTTGGACCACAGTAATTTCAATGTGACCATATAGGAAACCACTGGGCCAAATACTAAACAGGAGGCGGAATGGAGGAGCCTTCTTTGTGAGCATGCTCAGCATGTTGGCATGGGAACGAGGAAGCACAGAAGCTGTGTAGTCATCTCACAATGGATGGCTACCATTTATAGGATGCAAAGAAATTTTCTTTCTGGTCCCTGGATACAACGTATATTGTTTTTCTCTATGCTTTCCTTGACCCTGGAGGACTGCGGTTGCTGTTCCAATATCACCAAATAAACCCCTTAATAAAATAAAGAAACCGTAGTAGCAGTAACACTGGGTTTGCTGGAACAACCCCTTCCCCCTACCTTGCCTATGATTTTCTTCTGGGAACGTCCAACAGGAATGGCTAAGTTTTATCAATCCACTTGATAAAGCCAGCACAATCTTCAGTCCCCCGTCACAGAGCTAGAGTGGATGGGTATGTATATGTACGTGTGGCTCTGGGAATCTGGACACTGCCTCACGTTGTAACCCTTGCCCAGAACACTGGGTCGCTTCCACTGGTGACTCCGCGGTAACTCTAGAAGTGTCATTAAATACTCAGTTCGCCACGGCTGCCACCTCCACTGTCATAGGATGATGCAGCATCTGCAGAAGCGCTGTCTGCTGCCCCCGACTGATGGGGGTGGAGTGACAGGTGCGAAGTAGGCGTGGACTTTAATATTGGGTAAATGGGTCTGAAACAAGACAGAAACATTACTAAGAGAGAGGGCTTAAACAGAAAGAGCAATGTTGCTTTTCAGAACAAACACTGAGTGGCCATGAAAGCAGGGCAGAGGCCGACCACCAGCAGCCAGATGTTGGAGAGGCCTGGGTTCTACTCTGTACCATCCCACGTTACTCTAAATGACTAAATCAGCTCACATAACTTTGGTCCCTGCTTCCATAATAATACAAGTGGGGAAAAACTTCAAACTCATTTCTTAACCTGTTCCCAAAGGGATTCCTAGTTTGATTCTCATAGCTGAAATAAACTATATTTCCATAGTTGAAATAAGCTTAAGATTTTTTCCCCAAGTCATTGTGGACAGTCTTTCTTCTGATGACCTGTGGCTCTCCTCTTTGGTGTAGAAGAAATACGGCTGCAAGGACTCCCCACTGCAGCTATGCTCTGTCCTCTAGGGCTGAAGGGAAAGGAGGAGCTGAGGCCAAGAGAAAATCAAGATGAGGTTGGTGCTCCTTTATGTGCTCAGGTGCCATACGGTCAACATGGAGTTTTTAGAGGTTGGCTATAAAGGATAACAAGCACAGTGCCTTTCCCACAGCAGGTGTGAAGCAGAAGTTCCAATAAATGTCTTTTGAGCGGAAAAATCTAATATATAGATCCGTTCAGCCTTTTATAACCTCCTTGCTGGCAACCTGTCTTCCAGTCATTTGGCTATGCACGGGTCTCTCTACTACAGGGCAGGGGTTGGGGGAGGGGTGCAAACAGAAAAAGGGAAAAAATTACTTGATCCATTTGTTGTCTTAAAAAAAAAAATCCCACCTGGACGGTGTGGTTCAGTGGTTGAGCACAGACCCATAAACCAAAAAGGTCACTGGGGTTCAATTCCTGGTTGGGACACATGCCGGGTTGAGGGCTAGATCCATGTGGGGGAGTATAGGAGGCAGCCGATCAATGATGTTTCTCTCTCATCGATCTTTTCCTCTCCCTTTCCCTCTCTCTAAAAATCAATACGAGCATATTTTGAAATAAATAAAAATCCCAGCAAGAGGGGTTGATATGAAAGAAAATATAAATTAAAAATTTAAATCCTATTTAATGAAATATTTGTTATTCCTTTCTTTCCTTTAGAACCAAAATGTGGCATATGTGTCTGACTCCAGGCATGTTATTAAACTCTGGACATTACTGGAGTAACTGCTGGGAGGAGACCTATTTTTCTTCCCTCAGTGGGTATTTTCCTACTACATTTCCACCTGAAACTATCTTCCTGTACGTTTGCTTTCCATTTCTCCCATCTTTGCTAAATGTCTAAGTAAATTTAAAAATCAAAGGAATCTAAATCTAAAAAAAAGAAAAAGAAAGGGTGCTGAGAACACTAGAGCTGGAGGGTGATGCAGCCATCTTTACCCTGAGTCTCTTGATTCCAGCCCGTGAGATTTGCTGGCAGTCATAGAGTTCTATCCGCTCAAGGCTGTGACAGCTCTTCAAGTGCTCCAGGGATGCGTCTGTGATTAGTGGGCAGTTGTCCAGTTCAATCACCTCCAGCTGGTCATGAGCGCAGGCCCCATTCCCCAGGTGACGAATTCCATCGTCTGTGATCAGCTCACAGTGAGATAGACTCTGCAGCCAAAGAGAGCAAGGAAGGACACTGAAATACCTTATGGCATTCTTCCAGCAAGAGGCCTGTGTACCATCAGAGAGACCTTTCTAGTTTGATGTTGATGCATAAGGAACCATCACTAGATCCATGTGGTAAATGAAGAAAGCAAATTAGAGTTGCTGGGGTTCTGCTTTTGACAATCAATGATAGACATTTCTCTTTCTGATTCTAAATATACTTTGCGTTGACCTATGAACCAGGAGGTCACAGTTCGATTCCCAATTGGGGCACATGCCTGGGTTGTGGGCTCAAATCCCCAGGGTGGGGTGTGCAGGAGATAGCTGATCAATGATTCTCTCTCATCAGTGATATTTCAATCTTTCTCTCCCTCTCCGTTCCTCTCTGAAATCAGTAACAAAAAAATATATATTTTTAAAAAAGAATGGTTAACCAGAATGCTTTCTTTCCCATAGTGTTACAAGAAACAGTAACAGAGAATTCTCCCTAGTAAAAACCTTGATTGCTTCTGTTTTGGTCTGAAGGTGAAGCAAACTGTATTTCTGGCCATCAACTCCCAGGACCTCTGGAAATTTTAACACCATTCAGGTTGGAGTTCAAGTGGGAGGGAGAACTCATACTTTCCACGTCAGTTTTCAATTTCCAAGTATTGACAAAGAAAACATTTAACATTTCTTAATTCCTCTCTTGGTTCTCTGTAAGTTGACAATTTGTAGAAATATGCTTTCCCAAAATGGTAGCCAGTAACCAAGAGGAAAGTAAGAGCTGGGCTTTGATTAAATCTAAATATAATAAATAGCCCTGGCTGGTGTGGCTCAGTTGGTTGAGCGTCATCCCATGCACTGAAAAGTGGCCAGTTCGATTCCTCGTCAGGGCACATGCTGTTTGCAGGTTCAGTCCCCAGACGGAGTGTGACAGGAAGCAACCAATCTACCTCTGTCTCTCCTCCCCTTTCTCTCTCTCTAAAATCAGTATTTAAATCTGGTAAACACATAAAATTTTCAGAGTCACACTCACCAATACTTGAAGTCGAGGACAGTGTATAGAAAGTTGGATTAAGGTGCTATCTGTTATCTGAAAGAAACACATAAGCTTATTTTAGGTATAATTCCAAGAAAAAAAACTCATGGCCCGTACCTCACTCTTGACTATACTTGTAATCTAGACTGATATCCTGGTATCAATTCTCAAATAACAAAATCTTGAGGTTGATATCCCAATGGATACCTGAATCATTGAGAAACCAGGCTTGAACATATCTAGTATTCTCTAGTCTTCATCTTTGAGCAGACTGAAAACTTTGAGCAGGTTGAAAACTGTTTTGTTTTTTAAATGAATGAAAATCTGTCTCCTCATAACTTCTACCCACTATACTTTGTTCTACCTCCTTAAAACCATCACAGAAAACAACAAGGAAGATACTGCTCCATGAAAAAAGATTGTTATCTTTTTGGGTGCCGGTTATCTTCCCAATGGTGGCACAAAGGGGCTGCTGGAATCTGGGTTACCTACTAACATTCAGGAAGGAAAAACTCCTAAAAGGAAAAACAGTCTTTTATAATTATCTTAGGACAAAAAGTAAATCAGTGCTTCTTTTCAAATTCTTCCAAATCTGAGGTATTATGTTATTCTAATATAGAAGGTCAGGGGGGTGGGGAGCTGGAGCAGACAGGTGTGTGCACATCACTCAGAAGGACTAATACTGGAAAGGACACTAAGCATGTATAAGAGATAAGCGGACAGAAACAAATTTCAGTTTAAGAAGTAATAGCTGCTAAGTAGTGTCAGATAACAAGTAATTTAGAAAAAATTGACCTCAATAGACCCAAGTATCTTCTTTATTTTGACCATTAGTAAAATTCATTATTCTATCTTCTTTTTAGGAGTCTCCCATCAAAGTTTCTCCTCAATCAACTAATCTCAAAGCTCTTAAAATTGGTAAGAAAAGATACTGCTATTAAGGCAGTATCTGGTTGCCTGCCTTAAGGACAGGGCTCCATACAGACTCAGGTCTCTAGGGCTAAGGGTCCAGCGTCCAGTTAAGCTAAAAAGGGCAGGGCTATATATCAGTGTGATGGGGCTTTAATTATTTACTAATATCAAAACCCTGTAGGTCTAAGGAAATATCTTATGGCTTGAATGGGCTTTCTTCCTTTCCAATGGCAACCTTACTGATGACATACATTTTCCCCTGAACACAGATAGCATGAGTCCTCTGCTAGGTGTGCCTGGAGAGTCAGCAGTGGAGAGCCAGCAGTGCTGCCAGGCACTGCGTTACACCAGGGGAGGGAAGCCAATGTTCTCATGTGCATGTTACATAAGTTTCTATTATATTGTACTTCTGAGTAAAAATCCACAATCTTACTTGAACACACTCTTCCAGGTCCATCTTTTCAAGCTCATGGCAATTCTATAAAACACAAAACCAAACATTACAATACAAATATTTAAAATATGGGGAAACGTTAAGGCCAGAAAACGAAGTGGTGTTCAATATCAATCTGTCTGAAAGCAAAGGTCCTTCCCCTTGTTCCATACATTGGTCAAAGACAGTTATAATTTTAAATACTATAATTATACAAGTTAGTAGCTGTGGCATGAGAATGCCCTGGAACATCAGCCACAGGAAAATTCCTCCACACCCCACACACCCTTAGTTCTGCTGCCATTCCACATCTACATCCTTGCTCATTCTTCTGAAATAAAAATCCCAAATAAAACTTACATAGAACCTGGAGAAAATACTCACCCTGGCCAGAGTGGTAAAGCCTACATCTGTTAATTGAGAACACCTTGCCACTTCTAATATTCTGTTAAAAAAACCAAAGTGAAAGTAAAGTCCTTGGTCCCTGAAAACCACGTTTATTAAAACAGCAAGAATTCAAGAAAACAACCTCCTGGTCCCTAAGGACTACATAATATAATGACATTAATAGCCAAGCAAGTCTGCATAGAGATCTTGCTAATCCTATTCATGAAGTCATCATAAAGTGGTCCTGTAAATACAACACTGCAGACTTATGCAATCAGAAGAATGTAAGAGAAGCTTGTAGTTAATGCCAAAATGCATTTAAAAGACTTCTCCACAGACAATAGAGTGCTGAAGGCGGGGGGTGGGGGGGTGGGAGGGAGGCAGGCTGAAGGGGGTTAATGGGGGGAAAAGGGGACATATATAATACTTTCAACAATAAAGCATTATTTAAAAAAAGAAGAAAAGCAACGAACAAGCAAAATAATAATAATAATAATAATAATAATAATAATAATAAAATAAATGAAAAGGCTTTTGATGGCATATTGCTTGCACCCAGAGGACAGCCTGCTTCTAGAAAACAAGGGAAATGGACATGGTACTCTGTTAATCTGTTGCTAAAGAAAATTATTCTCTTTTCCTATTTTACATGTAGGCCCAATCAGATTTAGATAGATTTTTAAAATGTTATAAAAGGGCTGGTTAATTACAGGCCTATCCCAAACATGAAATTCCATACTTATGAAAAAATAACCTTATGTTTCCTGGCTCCTCCCACATGTTCCCAGGGAGGCCCAGTGGAGAGGGGAGCTGAGCTGGCAGCCACTGACCTATTCAGGAACTGCTACACAACAACCTAAATACCAACCACAGGACTGAGGAGTCAAACATAGCTTTTCTGTGAAAAGTTTGGTGGCATCTACACTATGGTACCATAGAATATTTATGTTTGCTTACAAATTACTTACAGAAGTATAAGAAATCATTATCAACTGACAATCTCTAGAGAGGGGGGAGGGAATCAATGGGGGGAAAAAAGGAGCAATATGTAATACTTTCAACAATAAAGATAAATTAGCTTGGCCAGTGTGGCTATGTGATTGAGCATCGTCCTATAAAGCAGGAGGTCAAGGTTTGCTTCCAGGTCAGGGCATATGCCCAGTTGCGACTCGATTTCCAATAGGATGTACAGGAGGCAGCCGATCAATGATTCCCTCTCCCTTCCTTTCTGTAATCAATAAAAATATAAAAAAACAAAAATAAATAAGATAAAAAAAGAGAAGTGACTGCTGTGTCTAATGGAAAAACATGAACTGATTGAAGTATCACATCTGAGAGTCTTTCTGTTCTAACAATAAGAAAACACGAAAGAGGAGGAAGCTGAACGCCCCTCTCTTTAAAACAAAAAGGGACCAGGTAAGCCCCAGCTGATTTGGCTCAGTGGATAGATCATCAGCCTGTGGACTGAAGGGTCCCAGGTTCAATTCTGGTCAAAGGCACATGCCCAGGTTGTGGGCTCAATCCCCAGTGAGGGGCGTGCAGGAGGCATCAATGATTCTCTCTCATCATTGATGTTTCTGTCTCTCTCTCCCTCTCTAAAATCAATAAAAATAATTTTTTTAAAAAAGGGAATCCTATATAATAAAACCGAATGGCGGCCGAAACCGGTTTGGCTCAGTGGATAGAGCGTCGGCCTTCGGACTGAAGGGTCCCGGGTTCGATTCCGGTCAAGGGCATGTACCTGGGTTGCGGGCACATCCCCGGTAGGAGATGTGCAGGAGGCAGCTGATCGATGTTTCTCTCTCATCGATGTTTCTGACTCTCTATCTCTCTCCCTTCCTCTCTGTAAAAAATCAATAAAATATATTTAAAAACAACAACAACAACAAAAAAAAACCGAATGGCGGAATGACAGGTTGCTATGATGTGCCCTAATCACCAGGGGGCAGACTCTCAACTCAGGAGCTGCCCCCGGGTGGTCAGTGCACTCCCATAGGGGGAGCACCACTCAGCCAGAAGCCGGGCTCAAGGCTGGCGGTGCAGTGGCAGTGGCGGGAGCCTCTCCCACCTCCATGGCAGTCCTAAGGAGCAGCAAATGGAGTAGTAAGGAGCAGCGAGCAGGTGGGTGGTAAGGAGCAAGGGGTCACAAACTACAAGAGGAATCCCAGGCCTAAGCTGGTAGTCGGACATCCCCTGAGGAGTCCTGGACTACGAGAGGGCACAGGCTGGGCTGAGGGACCCCTCCCCCTCCCCCAGTGCACGAATTTCATGCACCGGGCCTCTAGGGAGTAATATTTTTAGACAGGAGTTTGGCTACCTCCTTAGCTCCTGAATAGAATTCTACTCTAGGCTTCTGATATTACTTATTTTGACAAACAAGTCTATGATCTATTAAGGAATTTTGATACTGTAGCCTGATTTTCTTTCACTAATTACAGTCAGGCCGATGGCCAGATGATTACAAAAAAAGTTTAATAAATGATTATTCTACGTCAAACAAGTGGTTTCTGGAGCCAGACTGCCTGGGTTTGAATCCTTGCTCCTGCACTTACTCTAGCTGTGAGACCTTGAACAGGTTACTTGACCTCTCTGGGCTTCAGTTTTCTTCATCTATAATATGGAGATAATAACAGGGCTTATATGGTGTTTGATGATTAAGTAAATTAATATTTGTGAATCACTACAATGGCTAATATGTCTAATATATAAATACAATAATATTTAGCCAATCCTATATTTAGGCAGAGAGGTGGAGCAATGAAGAAATAAGGCTTGCTCTAAATTACCATTAATAAGCATAAAGGGAGGTTCTCCTATAGGGCTGTTTTTTTCTTTTTAAATACTTTCTGCTATGTACCTATCATCATTATTACAACATAAATGACCATAGGACAGGCCTTCAAAAACTTTCTTCAGAAAGGAATTACAGATGCTCCTTGCCTTGTGATGGGGTTATGTCCAGACAAACCCCTCAAAAGTAGAAAATATTGTTAAGTCAAAAGTGCATTGCCGAACCGGTTTGGCTCAGTGGATAGGGCGTCGGCCTGCGGACTGAAGGGTCCCAGGTCAAGGGCATGTACCTTGGTTGCGGGCACATCCCCAGTGGGGGGCGTGCAGGAGGCAGCTGATCGATCTCTCTCATCGATGTTTCTAACTCTCTGTCCCTCTCCCTTCTTCTCTGTAAAAAAATCAATAAAATATTAAAAAAAAAAGTGCATTTAATACCCCTAACCTCCCAAACAACATAATTTTAGCCAAGCCTACATTACATGTGCTCAGAACACTTACATTAGCCTCCAGTTGGGCAAAATCATCTAACACAAGCTTATTTTATAATAAAATGTTGACTATCTCATGTAATTTATTTATTATGTGTATCACCTTCCACCATCATAAAGTCAAAGAATCGTAAGTTGGCCCTGGCTGGTTTGGCTCAGTGGATAGAGCATTGGCTTGCGGACTGAAGGGTCCTGGGTTCGATTCTGATCAAGGGCATGTACCTTGGTTGCGGGCACATCCCTGGTGGGGGGTGTGCAGGAGGCAGCTGATCAATGTTTCTCTCTCATTGATGTTTCTAACTCTCTATACCTCTCCCTTCCTCTCTGTAAAAAATCAATAAAAAAATATATTTTTTTTAAAAAAGAATAATAAGTTGAACCATTTTAAGTAGGGGACCATCTTACATATGAAAGCGTTAGTAAGAGAAAATGCCTCTTTATTTCTTTTCTCAAGTAATAAAACAAAGTGATTTTTTTCTAGTATGGCTAGCAAGAAGTAAAAAATGGAGACTATTATCCGCTGGTTCAGGCCAATTACATGTAAATCCAATAAAGTATAAAGCAAGACAGAGGGCATCTAAAAGGGTAGTGTCTACCCTTGTAGTGTCTACCTTATAAATTTCAAGGTTCCAAGTGAAGGAGGCCTCTGTTCTCTTCCCAATATTTTTAAGCTAAACAAGAAATGTTGCCCTGGCTGGGTAGCTCAATTGGTTAAGGTGCCACCCCGCTATGCCAAGGTTTCAGGTTTGATCCCCAGTCAGGGCACATACAAGAATGAATCAATGGCCCTGTCTGGGTGGCTCACTTGGTTGGAGCGTCGTCCCGTATACCAAAAGTTTGCAGGATGGATTCCTGGTCAGGGTAGACACCTAGATTGCGGGTTTCATCCCCGGTTTTGTGTGTATAGGAGGTAACCAATCGATATTTCTTTCTCACATCGATGTTTCTCTCTCTCTTCCTCTCTAAAATCAATAAACATATCCTTGGATGAGGATAAAAAATAAAAATGAAAATAAAGAATCAATCAATAAATGCATAAATAAGTGGAACACAAATCTGTGGGGGTTTTTTCTAAAACCCAATGCATTTTAAAAAAGAAAAGAAATTTTACCTAAGCCGTGGGCAGTTCTGACCCAGAGCATTCAGGATGGCATCCGTGATGTTGGAGCAGCCGGAGGCACAGAGGGACTGTAACTTATGGCACCCTCTACATATAGTAATGAGACCTTCATCTGTGATTTGCTAAAAAAAAGAGCAAAAAATCCCCATAGATATTAGTAACTTTGCAGAAAAGGAAAAAACGTCACCTGTGAAAAGAAGTACCAAAAAGAAATAAAAGCAGATTTAATATTAATCAGATAGCAGACCTAAAGGAAAAGGAACACAATTTGTTTTTTTCCTCCCAGTTTCTTTTGATCTAGTTTGCAAGAGAATCTGTGCTCATTTCGGGGGCATGAAGCTATAAAGGGATTCTTTTAATCTAATCAATTGGGAACAGCGTGGGGAGTGTCATGGTGTACATTCAATTAAATGGTTTTAAAACCTAGAAAACCAATAAAAATGGCAGTATTTTAATAGTTTAAACATACTAACAAGTTCAAAATTGATACTAAATTACTAGGAACTTATTTTAAAAAACAAAACCACCTGTGGATGACAACTGCAGTCTCATATCAACCACAGATTCATTTATTTTTATATTTTTGTTTTCTAATAAAGAATATTCTAATTTATAGAAACAGTTGTGTCTAGCTCAAATATAATTTTGTAGGTTTCAAATTATTTTAAAATTAAAAAGAACAAAGATGTGTCCGGCCGGTGTTGCTCAGTGGTTGAGTGCTGACCTCTGACCCAGGAGGTTGTGGGTTGATTCCCGGTCAGGTACATGCCGGGGTCATGGGCTCAGTCCCTGGTAAGGGGAGTATAGGAGGCAGCCAATGGATGACTCTCTCTCATCATTGATGTTTCTATCCCTCTCTGCCTCTCCCTTTCTCTCTCTGAAATCAACAAAAATATATTAAAAAGAAAAAAAAGAACAGAGATGTTACATGGAAGCATGGAACAGAGTTTGGAATCTCCGAGGAAACGTGGGGGAGGGTAGGTAGGTGAGAGGTAATCAACCAAGGACCTTGTATATGCATGGCCCATGGACACAGATAATGAGGCAATGAGGGCCTGGGGCAGGGGGCGGAGGCGGGCTGGAGAAAAGGGGACATATGTAATACTTAACAAAGAAGAATTATTAAAAAAAAAAATCATGCCCAGCCAGAGTGGTTCTTAGTTCATAGGTCCATGCTCAACCACTGAGCCATGCTGGCCAAGCCTTTTTAATATATTTTTTTAACTGAATTTATCGAGGTGACATTAGTTTATAAATCATTTTTAATGTTTTAAAGTCTTTAAGAAATTACAGAGGAAGAAGAGGAGAAAAGCAAGTCATATTACCATTACTTTGAATTTTAGAAAGTAAAATTTACTAAAATTCTATGTTTTTAAATTAGTCAAGAAAAAGAGAATGGATCAAGAATGTACTTTCGTCACTTCAATTTGGGCAGGAAAATGAAGTCTCATGAACATTAAGCATCACATGGAAGGAATGATGGAGTAACTCATGTCCTAATATCTGGGGGAAGGGAAACAGTAAAATAAATACATGATAGAACTGGTTCTTTATGCTTCTCAACTGTGTTTTTTGCCTGCTGAAAGGGTAAAGGAAATGAAACTACAATGGTAAATGGTAGGTATGGTATATGTGTATGTACAAATGTGTACGCAACATATATATACAAATATATACAGAATGTATGCATGTATATGCATATAAAAATCTGAAGACGCTCAAGAACAGTTTTTTCCTATCATTTTAAGATGATGGTTTCATGTTTACCATAGTTATATAAGCTCTTTCTCTCAGGTCAGTTTCATGAATAAAATTAGGCAAATCTGGTTAACGAGCAGCTATGGCAATCGAATGAAAAGGAAGGGGTGGTCAGAATGGAAAAGAATGTCATTTCTTTAACTCAGTCCCCAGAAGCCTCCTAAGCAGAAGCACCACCCCTAAAGGGCTGAAGGGCAAGTTGCTGAAATTGTACAAAATGTGGCAGTTTTAAACTAAAATATCATCTTTAAACTAAGCAGCCACTATGCTCTCAAGTTTTAGGTGATTAAACAAGAAGGGGAGAGTATAATAATCAAAAGGCCTAGTAAATACAAGGAAAACCCTCATCAACTTTTTTCATTGCTAAGAGAGGCTCTCATTCCAAAGCAACACACATATGTACTTTCTAAGGCAAGAGAGAAAAGCTAAAGGTGCATTGCCAATGTTCCAGGATACTGAAGTTTCAGCAAATTCTTCAAGTAAAATTGAGGATTTTGGGATAGAAACAAAAAAGTTGATAGTCTAAAGAAACATGTGAACTGCAAATACTATTAGAGTATAATTTAAAGGGCACATTTTGCTTGCCATCTGTTTAGATCAGTGGTTCCCAATAGTTCTGACTTACTGATAGATCTTAATCAATGGGACTGCGATGAACTTCTCAAAAATATTTAAATACTGAAGCTTGTGAATGATTTAATTCTATATAGTACAGTAGTCTTATATAGAAAAGAAAAGGAGGAAGTTATAGGTTAGCCTATTTAGAATTTGGAATTCTGAATAAACTACGCATTTATCCATGTCAAAGCCCCTGGGAGAGCCCAGCCAATGTGGCTCAGTAGTGGAACGTCGACCCATGAACCGAGAGGTTACTGGAACACTTTCCCAGTCAGGGCACATGCCCAGGCTGAAAGTTCGATCCCCAATAGGGGACAATCAATCGATATTTTGCATCGATATTTCTATGTCTCTCTCTCCCTCTCCCTCTAAAATCAATAAACACATATTAAAAAAATGTATTTTTAAAAAGGCCTGGACTATCGTTAAGCAAGTAAAGAATCATCTGACTACTGTGTCCCCTGGGTTAAAGTGGAAAAACTACTGGCTTTGATGACTGAAACTATTACAGTAATAACACAGAAGTCAATTAGTAATACAGAAGAGCTGTAGGAAGGACTGCTTACCAAGCAGGTCTGCAAGTTCAAAGTCACCAGCTCAGGACAGTGTGCACCTATGTACTTGAGAGCTTCATCTTCTAGCTAGAAAGATTAAAAAGAGAAAAAATAATTCAAAGGATAAAAGTTTAAGGGAGTACACATTCATCAATATATTTTAAATATAGCCAACCAAGTTCCACTGTTCAAAGGAACAATGAACCATGGTCACATAAAGATGTAATTTATATGATCAGTACATTTTTTTTATCAGTTCTTACCATATCGAATTCTTATCATGAAATCAAGAAAAAAATAAACACTGCCTAATGTCTGTGGGTTTTTCTTCTGATAAATATGCTTTACAGCATTTTGCTAAGCATTTATGAACCTAAAAGAATTTTCACATTTCTACAATCCCTGTATTTTTGGGAGCAGGAGCTAAGAAAGGGATCCAGTTTATCTGCTGCTGAAAGATGAGTGCTATGAGTACAGTGCTGAGAACAGATGGCAAGTAATTGATTGTAATGATGCATTCCAATCAATATTTTTCAGGATTCCGTAAATAACCAGAAGCGCAAGCTGTTGTTTGAAGGTAGTCATACTTCCAAAGCTCTGTTTCAAACAATGGAACATCTCCCATCGTGGTGAAAAAATGAGGTCATTTTAAATGGAATTCAAAGAATGGTTTGAGAAATCATTAAAAAAATAAGGTAATGAGAATCAGTCACTTCTAAACCCACTCTTGAATATTCCCATGCCAATGCCTTCCAGTAATGACAAAATATGTTGAATTTGTAATGTGACTGGCAGGAAATAAGCATCAACACTATAAAATGTAGGTTGCTGTATACTTGGTACATTTAAGAAAAGCTTCTGGTGGTTTAAAAACTAGTGAAAATTGTCAAGATGGTCTTCCTTGCCTATTTAGTTCAAGGTCTCAGGCAGGAACAATATGCAAGTTTTCTTTTCAGAGTAAATTGCATGAAATCCTTCCTGCCTATGGTGCTTGCTCAGTATGATTTTTGTCTCCCCAGTCTGCCTCCCCTCAAAACAAAAATTTATCTTTGGTCAGATGTTCCTTCTTCTTCTCTTCTCTCTCTCTCTTTTTTTTTTTACTCTAAGGAAAACGGTAATTTTTGGTAAATATGTCTTTGGTCAGTAGCACAAAACAATTACATATTCTTTAAGTTTCTCTATCATTCACAAGCACTACATAGAGTATTACCTGTGTGCAGCCTTTTAAGAATAAGGCTTTGAGACCCCCACAGCCTCTCACTAGTGCTTGGATGCCATCCTTGGTTACTTGGTCACACCAGGAAATGTTCAATTGCTCCAACAGTGGACATCCCTCACTTGGTTAAAACAAAATGAAACAAACATATGACTAAATCCAATTCCAAAGCCACCAAAGTCTCATTTTATTGGCCCTTTAGTTGGGAAATGGATAAAGCCCCATGATCTTCCAAGAATATACATATTTACTTAACATAGATTTAGAACACCGGCAATCTCATAATCGCAAAAGTGGGTTTATCGATGTCTGTGGTGTTCGTGTGGAACTCTATCACAAGGAGGGCTGGCTCAAATCCAGCTTAGCTAACAAACACCAAGCACAGTATTATTTCCAGATATATTAGATTTTAATGGAAGTTTATACTTTTCAAGTTATATTCTTTTTGTACTTATCACACATTTATAAGTTCCCTAGATAGGAAACAAAAATTAAGTGACTTGTTCAAGTTGAGCAAGTAGTTAGTAAAGTTTAGAGTCAAACTCAGATTCTCCATCAAATAATTCTATTACTTATCAAAGTACAAATGAGAACATTTAAACTTTTACTTTAAAAATTACAGTGGATCTATAAATATTCCTTATCTGGGAAGCATCTAGAGTACTATTTCTATAGGCTGAATTTAAAATATATTGCATTTGATCTCTGGCTTCTATAAAATACTAGCTTTATCTTTGAACTTTGATTTCATATATGATCTATGGAAGAATCCCAAGCTCTACGACATTTTTTGGAAAATACTGATTTAACTGTTTTATAAAATAAAGCCAGGGGATCTTGGTTCAAGCCCATTCTTCAACATTAATATTGTGACTTCAAGCAAGTCACTTCAGGAAGCCTGCCTGAGTCTCTTTTAACCAAGATTAGACACAGGCACGTCTATGTTCTCCCCAAACTGCTGACCGTACTTCTATCACAGCACTGTATTGATTCTATTACCACACTGTAACATGATGACATGTTTAGTGTTTTTTTCTCCCACTAGACTCTGAGAAACTTAAGGGCAGCAACAATATCTTATTTAGTTACTTGCCACGGTTGAATCACATTACCTGGTATTCAAAAAAGTTTTAGATTTTCTGTCTGTAAAGTAGACACTATCTATATCTACCTCACAAGGTTATCTACCGCACAAGGTTTTCAAATAAATGAGATCATTTATGTTAATATTTTGTAAACTCTAAATGTTATTATTTTATGCTATTATTCTACACAGCAAACAGCCTTAGATACATATGTGCTTAATATTCATAAGGAAGATCTAGGAGCCACATTTTTAGATTATTTATACTCTACTTAACTAAATCTTTTAGTAGATTAATTCTTATTATTCATAAATGTAACCAATATATTGGACCATAAAGGCTGATAAATAAAGTTACAAAGAGAATGGACATCTCACCTTCCTTTTAAGATACACTTTCTGTAATGTATTTTTTTAAAAATACAATACCATTAAAACAGTAACTTAAGTGCTTAAGCAATTTATATATATTAAGTTAAAACACATGAAACTGTCATTTTTATAAGACAAAAGCTGCTGGAATATTGACAACTTTTTATGGTTTGGCTTAATGTTATCAAATAATGATAATACGGTTTAATCCTAGTAACAAACCTGAAATGACAAGGAAAAACTCACAAGGACTACATTTGTTCAAGGTACCTGATTAATGACCTAACTCCAGAGCACTGCTTTAATCACTAAGTGACATTCTGTGTTATTTTTGGGGAAGAGGGGAGGAAGCCTCCATAAAAACAACTAATCATTCATGTATAAATAAGCCCTACTTACCTCTAGTCATTTCACCTGTCCTATAATTTGGGCAAGTGGTAAAAGATCTATTCTGAACTGTTGTACATATCCATAAAACACGGTTTCCTTCAATTTCAACTTTATGACAGTTATTTTTTTAAATAAGTTTTTGTTCTGATTGCTGGACAATCTTATCTTAAGAAATTTACCTCAGAGCTTTTAGAGACATGTTTGTTATTGATGTACAGGAAGCCAAGTCAAGGTGCCTGAGTTTGGAACAGAACTTGCTAAGGCTAGTACATGTACTGAAAAATGGAAAAAGGAGAAAATAATAAATAAACAAATAATAACACATTCCTACTATATCATACACGATTTTCATTAAATACATGTATATACTTAAGAACTGTAAAATTTCCATACCCCCAATAAAAGCAGCTATCAATCCTGGAACCTTTCACGTTTGAGGAAGAAAACCAGTGGCCTTTATAAAGGATAACAAAGGCTGTGATGTGTATGAGAATTTGCATGAGGGGAAGACGGTGCTTTATTCACATTTGGAAATATTAATAGCTACTAAAAGCAAACTGCATATGTGCTGATAAATGCACTTTGCAAATTCAGGAACATCAGAAAGCTACTACCTGCTAGGAAGAGGGGAGACATGAAGACTGAAAGCTCTGTCTCTGCTCTTTCACTGAAATCTCTGCTCAAGATAACCTCTTGCACGGCAGTAATATAATAACTGAATTTTTGCAAGAAATACAGAGGATGGACCAGTGCTGGGCTGAAACAAGTTATGTAACATTACTTCCTACTTTATGAATTTCTTAGAGGCTCTTTTTACAGTGGTCAAGGCCTCAGTTTAATTTTTTTAATTTATGAAAAATTTCAAATATACACAAGAATATCAGAGAAAGCACATGTACCATCATTATGCTTCTACATTTATCAATATTCTATTTCTATTTCACCCATTTCTCTCCTTTTTTCGTTCCAGTATTTTAAAGCAAATCCCAGACATATTTCAGGACATGTTTTTAATAGATAAGGGCTTTAATTCCTTAATATCTAATATCACTATATTTAATTTTCCCCAATTCTCTCACAAATGCTTTTGTCAAGTTGATTTGATCAAATTAGGATCCAAGTAAGAACCATACATTCTATTTGGCAGATAGATTTCTTAGGTTTTTGTGTGGACCTATACTTCCATTTCTTCTGGCTAGATGCCTAGGAGAATTGCTAGGTCTTATACTAAGTTAGACTTTTTAAGAAGTTGCTAAACTGCTTTCTAAAGCGGCTGTACCATTTTACATTCTCACCAGCAACCTATGAAGGCCCCGTTTCTCCACATCTTTGCCAAATACTTGGTATTGGTCCCCCCTCCCCCCCCCGCTTTTTATTATAGCCATTTTAGTGGGTATGGAATATAATCTTTTATTGGGCTTTTATTTTGTAATTCTGTAATGAACGGACTGCATTGGTCAGAATCTCCAAAAGAATGTTAAATAGAAATGGCAAGAGTTAACATCCTGGCTTCTGACCTTAGGGCAGTGATGGCGAACCTATGACACACGTGTCAGAGGTGACACGCGAACTCATTTTTTGGGTTGATTTTTCTTTGTTAAATGGCACTTAAATATATAAAATAAATATCAAAAATATAAATCTTTGTTTTACTATGGTTGCAAATATCAAAAAATTTCTATATGTGACACGGCACCAGAGTTAAGTTAGGGTTTTTCAAAATGCTGACACGCCGAGCTCAAAAGGTTCGCCATCACTGCCTTAGGGTGAAGCATTCAGTGTTCCACCATTAAGTATGATGGCTAGCAGTAAGTTTTTCATGGACACCTTTGACCAAATTGAGGGAATGCCCTTTTCTTCCTAGTTTGTTGAGAATTTTTATCATGAATGGGTGCTGGATTTTGTCATGTGCTTTCTTATCTAATGATATACTAGTTATCTATTGTTGTATAAGAGATTGCCCCAAAGTAAGAAGCTTACAACAACACTTATTATCTCACAGAGTTTGTGGGCCAGGAATACCTGCACAGGCAGTTTAGCAGGGTGCCTCTGACTCAGGGTCTCTCACAAGACTGTAATCAAGGGATTGGCCACAGTTGTAGTCATCTCAAATATTAACTGAGTACAGATTCCCTTCCAAGCTCATTTAAGTAGCTTTTGGCAGACCTCAGAAGATCCAACTCGAGGTTCACTCATTTGGTTTTTGGTAGGCTTCAGGTCCTCACTGGCTCTTGGCCAGAGACCTCACTTCTTAGCCACATGGGCCTCTCCACAGAACTACTCAAAAGAGGGCAACTTGCCCCGCTCCCCCCCCAAGTCAGAGCCCTGAGCAAAAGTAGAGCAAGACAGAAGTCACAATCTTTTTGTAACCTAACCTCCAAAGTGACACCCAATCTCTTTTGCTGTTTTCTGTTGTTAGAAATGAGACCTTAATTAGGTTCAGTCCATGCAGGGGACCTTCACAAGGGTGTGAATACCAGGGAGGTAGGAATTACTTGGGGGCCTTTTTAGAGGCTGCCTATCACACTGGATCATCATGTGGCTTTTGTTCTTTTTTTCTAGAGGACAGTAAATCTCATCAGTTACCTACTGTTATATAGTCCAAAGTCAAGAACTGTTCTGACATTTTTAAATGTCAGAGAGAGTAAAGGAGAAAGAGAAACATGGATTGGTTGCCTCCCATAAGTACCCTGACAGGGATTTAACCCAGACCTGGATATGTGCCCTGACCAGGAATTGAACTGCCGCCTTTCAGTGTATGGGAGGACACTCCAATTAACAGCCACACTGGCCAGGGCAAGTCACCCTGGCTTTGAACTAAGTCTGAGCATCTGTGCGTTGTCTCAGTTTCTTTTGTTCATCTCTTTAAGGTGTCCAAAGCTTATTTTATATAAATTTGGCTTAAGAAAGGTTTCCTAGGGACACTTTCAGATACGAAATCTGTATACGTATTTAAAGCTATACACTTTTCCCTAAGAACTTCACTGCCTTTGGTGCATTTTACAAATCTCAATGTTGTGTCTTCATTATCACACAGCAAAACATATTTTCTAGTTTCCTTTGTAATTTATTCCTTGATCCATAGGTTATTCAGAAGGTGGTATTTAATTTTTACATTATTTAGATACTAGAGGCCTGATGCATGAAATTCGTGCAAGAGTAGGCCTTCCTTCCCCCAGCTGCTGGCACTGGCTTCCCTTGCAGCCCTGGCTTCATCTGGAAGGTCTTCTGGAAGGACATCCAGTCTAAATAGCATATTACACTTTTTTTTTAAAAAAATATATTTTATTGCCGAAACCGGTTTGGCTCAGTGGATAGAGCGTCGGCCTGCGGACTGAAGGGTCCCAGGTTCGATTCCGGTCAAGGGCACGTGCCTGGGTTGCGGGCACATCCCCGGTGGGGGATGTGCAGGAGGCGGCTGGTCGATGTTTCTCTCTCATCGATGTTTCTGACTCTCTATCTCTCTCCCTTCCTCTCTGTAAAAAATCAGTAAAATATATTAAAAAAAAAATATATATATATATATATATTTTATTGATTTCTTACAGAGAGGAAGGGAGAGGGATAGAGAGCCAGAAACATCCATGAGAGAGAAACACGGATCAGCTGCCTCCTGCACGCCCCCCCACTGGGGATGTGCCCGCAACCAAGGTACATGCCCTTGACCAAAATCGAACCCGGCACCCTTGAGTCCGCAGGCTGAAGCTTTATCCACTGAGCTAAACCGGTTCTGGCAGCATATTACACTTTTATTATTATAGACATGTTGTTGATTTCTACTTAAATACTGTTGATGCTATAGAACACATTCAATAGGATTTCAATTCTTCTAAATTTATTGAAATTTGTTTTATGGCCCATTACTTGGTGTGTATTATTGAGTATTCCAAGTGCACTTGAAAAGCTTATTCTGGTGCTTTTTGGTATAGCATTCTATAGATGTCAATTAGGACAAGTTTGGGGAGGGGGCAATAAAATTTATATATATAAAAAAAGGACAAGTTCACCGATAGTGTTGCTCAAGTATTCTATAATTTTACTGGTTTTGATATACAAATTTAATCATTTACTGAAAGATGAGGGCACCACTTAGTATCTTTTGCATCCACTCTTCTTCCTGAAGTTTACATCATCAGCTGATATTAATAACCACTTCAATGTTCCTGTGACTAGTGTTTGTAATACTATATCTTTTCCCATCCTTTTAATCTCTGTATTATCTTTAAGTTTTCCTTAAAATTTTTTAGCATATTTATAATTGCTATTTTCAAACTCTTTATTGTTCAATTTTATAATCTCTGTCATTTCTGTGTCTGTTTCTATTGGCTGGTTTTTCCTTCTGGCTCTTCTTCTAGTATCATTTCCTGCTTCTGTGTGCTGTAATTTTTGACTGAATCTGAAAATTCTGTATGTGTGGGAGGGTTGTTTTCCCCAGGGAGACCACAGAAGGACTAGAAAGAAAAGACTCAGCCTTTAACTTTTAGAAATGCCTACTTATTGATTAAATAATATAATGTCTAAGACGTTTTTCAAAAGAAGATAAATGAGGGGGTAAGGTGACACAAGACTAGCCATTAAGTAATAAATTCTCAATTATCAATTTGAAGATGGCTGATGGGTTCAATTTTGTCTACTTTGGCATATGCTTAAAATATGTTCTAAGAAGTCAAAAGTCAGAAGTAGTAATTTCTCTCTTGGTGGTTATAGCTTCAATTTGGTATGGCTGGGTTCATGTGTTTTGTTTTTGATTGTTAGGGACTGCTTTGATTTCTTTTTAGCTTAATTCATGTTTTAATTATGTAGAACATTTACATGGCTATTAAGGTATAAAACATGATACTTCAGAAGTCTCTTTCATTCCTGTCTCTTGGTGTTCTCTCTCCTAAATAGTAACCATTTTTATTAGTTTTTGATTACCTTTCCATTGCTTTTTCTAGAAAATAAGTATGATTATATATTTGTATTATATCCCCTGGCTCTACAAAAGGTATCTTATTATACAAATTCTTCTGCAGCTTGCTTTTTTAACAGTATGTTCTGTCAATCACTCCAGTGTACTATAGAAAGATTCTCCTCATTCCTTGTTGTTGTTTTTTTGTTTGTTAATCCTCACCCAAGGATATTTTTCCATTGATTTTGAGAGAGAGTGAAAGGGAGAGGAAGAGACAGAGAGAAACATTGATGTGAGAGAGACACATCTATTGGTTGCCTCCTGCACGCACCCAACCAGGGCCAGGGAACCTGCAAGCAAGGTACATGTCCCTGACTGGAATCAAACCGAGGACTCTTCAGTCTCCAGGCTGACACTTTATCCATTGAGCCAAACCAGCTAGGATTCATTCCTTTTTTTTAACCAGACATCTACTAATAGACATTTGGATTGTTTTCTGTCATTTGCTATTAAGAATAATGCAGTAGTGCCCAGCTGGTGGGCTCAGTGATTGAGCATTGACCTATGAACCAGGAGGTCACGGGTTCGATCCTCAGTAGGGAGTGTGGGAGAGGCAGCCAATCAATGTTTCTCTCTCACCGATGTTTCTATCTCTCGTTTCCTCTAAAAATAAAAACATTAAGAAAATAATGCAGTATTTGCTATTACAAACAGTAAAAATGAATAGCTTTGTACATAAATCGTATTAGATTTTTGCCAGTGTATATTTGGTATATAAATTCCTAGAAAAATGTGTAAATTATATGTCATTTTTTAGATACCAAGTGGTCAAATTCTTAATCTCTATTACACTAAGTATTCAAAGGAAAAAATAAACAGGTAATTTATCTAAAGTAAATGTTGGGCTACTGGTATAAAGTAATGGTTGGAGGAGGGGTTAGTAAATTGCCTCTCCTATTAAAGATTTCCAAATCAATTCATAGGAGTAATACCTGTTAATAACCATAGTCCTTGTCTTTCAAATACTTTCCTGTGTTAAAAGTGAACAATGTTGTGACCTCAAAGAAAGAAATAAAATAAATAATGTGCCCCTGTGCTTGGAGTGTCATCCACTTTCCTTCATTCAAGCAATTCTAAAAATATCTCTTTTATGAGGACTTTTTGAACAGGAAAATTCAGTGAATAATTCTGGCCCTTCACTGTGAAAACATAATTTGCCAACGGTTTCACTTCACCTCACAATAGGCAAAAGCTTCCCTATCTAATACGTAAATGTTATTTGATACATGTTATTACCAATAGATATTCTTGAGCTATAAAAATGTTTACCTTTGATGTCTATTGTGTCTGTGATGATAAACTCTCAAGAATGAAGGATCAGAATTTATTTCTTTTATATTATGACCAATACAAACACAGTACATTCAAAGTCATTTAATCAGTACTCTCAATATTGATTATCACAATGTTTAGTCCCAGGTGTAAGATTTTACATGTTTTTATAAAATTATCTGTTTACCATGTCTTCTCAATGACAGCCACTAGTATCTTCTTGAAATATAAGTTGTCCTAGTAATTTATATCATTATTATCCCTACTGCATATTCAATGATTACTGTTTTTAAGTTTCACTTAAAAGATCAAGATAGGATTTGCGCCAGATTCCAAAATAAATGCCTTATTTCATTGCTACTTTAATGTTACTTTCTCCTTTTAAAATATCTTTCTTTTATAATACCAAAATGAAATTTGCTAAATGTATTTAGTAGCATGCATTTAAAGCCTCTATAGGCAAGACACAAAGGGCTATGATTTACCCTTCTAAAACACAAAATACTTACGCGTCTGTAGTCTTTGTGCACCCATTTAAATTTAGTACTTCAATGTTCCTACAGTTTTGTGCAAACGTCCTTCACAGGAAAAAAAAACAAAAGGTTTGAAATGAAACAGGCAAATTCTGGTATTTAAAAAGTAATAAAGAGCCGTAACTGGTTTGGCTCAGTGGATAGAATGTCAGCCTGCGGACTGAAGGGTCCCAGGTTCGATTCCGGTCAAGGGCATGTACCTTCGTTGCCAGCACATCCCCAGTAGGGGGTGTGCAGGAGGCAGCTGATCAATGTTTCTCTCTCATCGATGTTTCTAACTCTCTATCCCTCTCCCTTCCTCTCTGTAAAAAAATCAGTAAAATATATTTAAAAAAAAATAAAAAGTAATAAAAGATACATATTGTAGGGAGCGGCTATAGGGTTAAGCCTTGGACTGACCTACTGGCAAAGCCACAAACAAGTCCCAGCTTAGAGGGCACAGCCCTCTTAGCATAATTAGGCTTGACCTTATGAGCTCCCTAGATCTTACCTGGATAGCTAATGGGCTGAGGGAGATGCAGCAAGTGCTGCCAAAACAAGTGAAACTCACAAGAACACAGTAACTATGGTGACCACTACCTTGTTAACCTCTGGCTATAAAATAAAGGCTCAGCTTGCTGTCTGGGTCTCTCTCTATGGCCTCAGCCAGACACAGGAAGATCTAGACCAGTGGTTCTCAACCTTTCTAATGCCGAGACCCTTTAATAGTTCCTCATGTTGTGGTGACCCTCAACCATAAAATTATTTTCATTGCTACTCCATCAACTGTAATTTTGCTACTGTTATGAATCGTAATGTAAATACCTGATATGCAGGATGTATTTTCATTGTTACAAATTGAACATAATTAAAGCATAGTGATTAATCACAAAAACAATATGTAATCATCTATGTGTTTTCCAATGGTCTTAAGCGACCCCTGTGAAAGGGTCGTTCAATCCCCAAAGGGGTCACGACCCACAGGTTGAGAACCGCTGACCTAGACTCAGCTTATTCTCTTTGTCTATCTTTTCTACATCCTTCGCAATGTCCCCTCAGGCTCGCCGAACCCTTGGCTGTGCTGACACGGCACAATATATGTATATATGTGTGTGTATATACATACATATATATATTATTGGTAATATTGAATATTGGTACAAAAGTAGTTCGCAATCACAAATAAATTAATTTTCAACCATAAACACTTTTTTTGCGGGTGCAGGGAGTTAAACCTCACCTAAGAATATTTTTCTATTGATTTCTTAGAAAAAGTGGAAGGGAGGGGGAAACACAGAGAGAGAGAGAAACATTGATATGAGAGAGACACACTGGTTATCTCCTACAAGCACCCCAACTAGGGCCATCCAGGAATCAAGCCTAAATCAAGCTATGTGCCCTTGACCAGAATCGAACCCCATGACCCTTCAGTCGGAGGGCTGACATTCTATCCACTGAGCCAAACCAGCTTGGGCTCAACCACAAACTTTTAACATTGATCTTTTTGTCAACCAAGGTTAAAATTACCTTAACTTTGAGAAACAAACAAAAAAACCCAAAATTTACTCAAGGCTTCAAAAGAACTATTTATGATATGAGGGAATTTGGCTTTTCTGGAGGGGGCACTAGTTCTTGTTTTATTCTCAAAACCCTATATCCCACTACTAGATATCTTTGTGCTATAAGCAATGTATGTGTTTTTGAGTTCAGAATAGCTTAAAGAAAGCAGTAACTTTCTTTATAAAAAGCTTAAAACCATTTTAACCTTTTCTGGATGAGATGGTGCTTTCTTTACTTCAGTTATGGAAGATCAGTTAATCAATAGTTATGTTCTTACCTTAATGCATTGTCTCCTACTCCAAGACACCCACGAAGACTTAACTTTCGTAAAAAGCCCCCACATCTTTTTGAAATATTCTCCACTACTCGGCCCTGTAAAATATAGACAGGTAAACAAAAGATAAGTCATCACATTGATTTGGAAAAGAATACATACTCATTTTAAATAATTTATAAACATAAAGAAGAGACTTCTATTCATTTTAAAGACTGAGTTATTAATGCAATAGGAAAATTTCAACTTCCTGTGAAAAAGCTTCCCTGATATCGCATTTACTTGAAACATGCCTAAACAAACCCCATATAGCTATTTACTTTACACAATTTGTAAGATACTCTCTCTTTGAGGAAATGGTACTCTATAGTTCTCTTATGCCTATATTAAGGCATATGTCTATGTAAGGTCTTATGTGTATACTAGAGGCCCGGTTCACAAAATTCACATATGGGTAGGGTCCCTAGCCCTGGTCGGCGATAAGGGCCGATTGGGGCCTTCTGGCTGCCAGCCAGGGCCTTCCTTTGTTCCGCACCGCCCCCTGGTGGTCAGTGCATGTCATAGTGAGCGGCAGAATTCCTGGTTTCCCAGTCGAGCTCCCGCGGTGACACTTTGCATATTAGCCTTTTATATATATACTAGAGGCCCGGTGCACAAAAATTTGTGCACTCTGGGGGCGGGGGGGGGGTGTCCCTCAGCCCAGCCTGTGCCCTCTCGCAGTCTGGGACCTCTCGGAGATGACCACCTGCTGGTTTAGGCCCGCTCCCTGGGGGGACTGGGCCTAAGCTGGCAGTCAGACATCCCTCTGGCAGCCCGGGAGCCCTCGGGGGATGTCCACTTGCCAGCGGCGAGCAGGCCTAAGTTGCAGTCGGGCATCCGTAGTGCTGCTGAGGAGGTGGGAGAGGCTCCCACCACCACCGCTGTATTGGCAGCTGTCAGCCTGGCTTGTGGCTGAGCAGAGCTCCCCCTGTGGGAGCACACTGACCACCAGGGGGCAGCTCCTGCACTGAGCATCTGTCACCTGGTTGTCAGTGTGTGTCATAGGGACCAGTCATTCCCAGTCGTTCTGCTGTTAGGGTCAATTTGCATATTACCCTTTTATTATACAAGTGTGCCTGGCCAGCCTGGGTGAGGGGCTGATGGCCGTTTGCAGGCTGGCCACAACCCCCAGCCACCCAAGCTCCCAGTGGAGGCTGGCTGGAAGCAGGTATCTGAGATTTATTTGTCTTCTATAATTGAAACTTTGTTGCCACGAGTGGAGGCCTCAGCTGGCTTAGGGCTGGCGGGAAGCTTGGCTTCCTCCATAGCCTGAGCAACCAAGCCCTCCCGCTTGCTCCAGCTCCATGGCTGCTGGCCGCCATCTTGGTTGGGTTAATTTGCATATAGTCGATCTGATTGGCTGGTGGGTGTGGCTTAGGGCATAGCGAAGGTACGGTCCATTAGCATCCTTGTCTTTTCTTAGTGTAGTTATATATATAAACTAGTGGCCCGGTGCATGAAATTCGTGCACAGGGGCGGGGGGTGGGGGTGGTCCCTCAGGCCAGCCTCCACCCTCTCACAATCCCAATCCAGGACCACTGGCTCCTAACTACTTGCCTCCCTGTCTGCCTGCCTGATCGCTCCTAACTGCTCGCCTGCCTGCCTGATCGCCCCCAACTGCCTCTGCCTCTGCCCACGCCACTGTGGCTTTGTCAGGAAGGACGTCTGGAAGGTCGTTTAGCTTTTATTATTATAGATTAAGGTAGACTACCCAACTGCCCTTCTAATTAAACTGCAGCCACTGAAAGATATTAACTCTATTATTTCTGTATTCTTTCTAAAGTGCTTCCTATAGTATTATAATTACAGCAGAGACTCAATGAACACCTAACAAAAGCTTGCTGAATGATTGTGTGAGCCATGTTGCTTTAAACAGTCACTTCCATTAGATTAAATAATGGTGAAAAACATAAAAATACAGTTTAATGTCAATGGATAGTATTTTAAAGGCACTTTTAAAGATAAGGGAAAGTTCATGTGAGGCTTTTTAAAAAAATCCTTACATGGATCTTCAAGATAATTAAGTTCCAGTGAAATTTATTTAATTCTTATAATACAATGAGGACTCTTATCACTCTTTTGATGAGAAAACCAAGGACCACAGAGCTCAAATTGAGGTTAAAACAATTTCAGTTTAAGCTATTATGCTTCTCTATTTTGGAAATAATAAACAATACTAAGAGATAAAATATGGGAGAAAAGGTGTGTGTGTGTGTGTGGGGGGATCTCTCTCCAACAAAATAATTCAATAAATGACTTTGACTTTATTCTTTTTTTCATTCTCCACAAAACTATCTATAATCTTTCCAAGAACCAAAACGCCTGTCTCAAGAAGAATTTATGCAAATATCATACCTCAACAAGTTAACTGATTCTTCAATAAATATAAAAAGACTTCCTTAAAATGAGTAAATACAGGCTCATATTTTCACCACAAAACTTTTTAAAAATTGCTTTTTTCCTATTAATACAAATAGTACTATTTCAATTAAATAATTCTGTTCATTCTCAAAGACTCAAAGAATAAGTTCTTGGGAACATTACAGGCTCCCATGAAGTTCATATGCACCAAAATTAATACTTTGTCTCTCCAGGGAAAGAAGATTTATATGGTTGCACTAATCTGTTCCATGCTGTAATTACATCTTAACAAGAGAAATGGGGCCACACACCACATAATTATACCTCAATATCCCTCTGGAAATCGAACAGGTCAATTCGCTGCCAGTTACTGCCATCCAGAGCCAGAACATTCCAGGCCTATTTAGAAGAAAAAGAGACAGAATGAGCAGGAGCTGGAACAAAGGAGAAAACCCAGCAATATTCATGTTCACAATTCATTCTACTAATGACTGAAATTGACGGAAACATTTCTCAGTCCCCCACCATTAACTCTCAATAAGTCTGCCTTCTTATTCATACTTTATTCTCCAATGAGATTATCTCATAAATGAGTGGGTAGAGCTACAATAGATTTTAGGGGCTTGGGGAAAGAACAGGCTGTAATATGTATCATAGCCAGAAACTGTTTTCTAACTGGAAGATTCTAGTTTCTCATCTCAAAGAGATAGTCCAGCTGATGAAAAGTAAGCCCATTATTCTATCTCTCAACAAGGATGAAGATGAGGGTGAAACCAAAGAAAGAGGACAGTACAATGAATACTGCTATATTCAATACCTATTTGCTACCCATAGCATCACTTGGTCAGACTTAAAACTGTGATATGGTGACCTGGGACTTTGAAAAGACAGCACAATTTCTCTGTATACCTGACAGAGCCTTAATGCTTTCCTTGAGACCAATTTGCTCACTCAGGCGTGTTTTTCAATTGGTCACTTTTCCCTCTAACTAAAGTCAGTGATCACTGCAAAACAGTGAAAGTTTAAGACAGTGGTTCTCAACCTTCTGGCCCTTTAAATACAGTTCCTCATGTTGTGACCCAACCATAAAATTATTTTCGTTGCTACTTCATAACTGTAATGTTGCTACTGTTATGAATCGTAATGCAAATATCTGATATGCAGGATGGTCTTAGGCGACAGCTGTGAAAGGGTCGTTCGACCGCCAAAGGGGTCACAACCCACAAGTTGAGAACCGCTGGTTTAAGACTTCTCATACATTTCTTCAGTAAGTTAAAGGGAGGTAAGAAAGTTTCTAAACTTTTTAACTTTTCAGGATCTGGTGGAAAATGATTCAGAGTTAATTTGCTGTATTTTAGTGAGAAAGTCTTTAAAAGTTTTCCCTATTGAATTTAAAGTGTAAACAAAAGTCTTAATATTGTTGAACTATAAACTTAGATTATCATCTCTTACTATAACATTCAAGACATAGATTTATGCTGAAATTTTTAAAAACTATGTATACACTTATTGACCACAGAATAACTGTCACACAATCAGTAAGAAATAAGTCATGGATATGAAAGTAAACAAAGTTATTATTCTAGAAATCTTTAAAGTTTTCTCGGGAGTTCAATGTTACTTTTCTTTTCGTAGCTTCATATTTTTCCAATGGTTTCTTAAATGGCTAGCTATGGGAGATAACAGATAAAACTTTTAAAGTTCATATGTTTACTAGATTCTTGGGCTAAATATACTGATTTGGTTTGATATTTCCCATTTCCTTACACTACACTTTCCCTAGCAATAGGAATCATGCGAAACTGACACTGAAATTCAGAATGACAGGTTTCCTCCTAGAGTCTTGTTTTTTTTTTAACAAATTAAATACTTCAAGTACAGAGAATAAGGTAACTACTGATGTACTAACTATCCGGATTTACTGAAAATGGGCACTGTGCTTTACTTCTTTTAAATTAAAACGTATTAAGAGGGAAGAAAAACCTGCAAGTGAAAACAATTAAAATTCACTCAAGTCAACATTGCTAAGATTAGATGCAGTAACTAAACAGGTTTAGACACTGGTCTGAGTATTTTGTTTCTCAATGATGACCTCAGATTCATATGGAGACAAAAAGCCATGTCACTCAAGTACCAGGGACAAACATGTCATAAATCATCAAAACACTGCTGATTGTTTCAAAAATAGCTGATGCACAGATTTAGTGTATGGCTTTTAGGATGCAGAAATTACACTAAAGATAGCAAGACAAAGTGAATTTTCTGTGGCAAGTTTTGTGTTTTGTTTGAGAGTGGTGTTGGCAATTTGAAGAAAAACCTAGGTCTACCTACAAAGATAAACACAATACTGGATGGTATGACATAAACGTATTACATATCCAGGACCTAGGATTGTACCACTGTCCAGTTTATAAAAAGATGATAATTCTAAGTACACACTCCTTTTATTAGGTTAATTATTCTATATCTGTATTACAATAGAGACTAGGAATGGTTCATAAAGCAGTTTTTCCACAAAAGAGTTTCTATTCTTTATATTAGTGGCAGCCAATAAGATTACGATGTTTCACTGTTTTGTCATGGCAAGCCACTTGGCAAAAATGGGTAATTAAGTACAATGTAAAAACTGACTTTCAGGATGGAATCTAGTTTGCTCTACAATTTAAAAAATCTAGCTATTACCTTTGAGAGAAAAACAAGGGGAGGTGACATGCAAATCAGACTTCAAGAGCTTTCCATGTGTATGTGTGTGTAAAATTAACTAGGAAAACATAATGAAACACTGTTTTATTACAATTCTCAGTAGAGACCAATCTTTTAATTTGTATGTTTAATACTTTTTCCTGGAAAATGTTTCCTGTTTGTATTCTACAAATAGTCAAGACGGTACATGTAGAACTGTAGAATTACATAGATTTGGGTATGCCATGGGTGAAACAACATCCTTTGAAACCCAACATTCAACTAACATCTAAAGTAAATAGTTTCCCTACTACAGAAGCTGATTATTATCAGTGTCAGGAAGTGGTACCCCTCTAATTATGTCAAGCATTCTTACCCTGGAGACCTGAGCACAGCGACACAAGGTAACAACATCCAGAAAAGAAAATATCCTAAAAAGAGATAGAGACCACTTTATTATAAGATAAAGTAGAGCAATTTACAAAAATAATACTGCCAAAAAAAAAAAAATAATACTGCCCATCCAATTTAATAATGGACCGTATGTGCAAAGCTTATAAATTCTCTAAAATAAAGAATATTACAAATGACATTTAGGGTTAGGGGAAAAAATCCTCAACTACAATACTATATACTATACCAAAAAGAAACCTGTGCCTCAAATCTTATAGTACATTTGAATCAAAGACCTTTTGTCACCCAGTTGGCAGTGGTTGAACATTGACCTATGAACCGGGAGGTCACGGTTCGATTCCTGCTCAGGGCACATGCCCTGGTTGCGGGTTTGATCCCCATGGGGGGTGTGCAGGAGGCCATTGATCAATGATTCTCTCTCATCATTGATATTTCTATTTCCCTCTCCCTTCCTCTCTGAAATCAATAAAAATATATTTTTAAAAAACACCTTTTGTCTCTGTTCAGAAAAGGGGAAACAATAATCTCTCTCTTATCTTTCCCTCACTCCTCTCTTCTACCAACTCACACACACATAGTATATACTATTACATGATAATTATGTCCCAACACTTCCAACAATTGAAAAAATAATGAAAAATATTGTAGATTCTTTAAAGTAATAATAATCCTCATTCTGAAACTGCTTTCATAGCTAACTTGTTTCATAGCTAAAAGGGCATGTGTGGGCTCAAGCAGCCTTATCCTTCATGTCACTTTTACAGTTATCAATATCATCTTCAGAGGAAATCTCTGAGGAACAAGTCACTTTACAGTAACTCTTGGAAAATACACAAGACTCTTTGTCTTATAAACACTGACATTCATTTATCAAGAGGCCCTCCTAAATAAATGCATATGGCTCTGCTCTGAAAGGGAGTACACAGTCAATTCTGCTAACTGATTTCACATTATGCAAACAGTGGATTCCAGCTTGCTACCACATTAATAATAAACTTTGTTTTAAAAGGGAAGGAAGAGAATCAGTAAGTTAAAGTTAAGAGGAAACAAGAACACTTGGTAACTTGGCTGTGGCCTTGCATTTACAAGGAAATAGTAGGGTCCTAAGAACACAATTGTTGCTGTAACCAGTTTGGCTCAGTGGATAGAGCGTCGGCCTGTGGACTCAAGGGTCCCAGGTTCGATTCCGGTCAAGGGCATGTACCTTGGTTGCGGGCACATCCCCAGTGGGGGGTGTGCAGGAGGCAGCTGATCCATGTTTCTCTCTCATTGATGTTTCTAACTCTCTAACTTTCTAACTAACGCTCTTCCTTCCTCTCTGTAAAAAAATCAATAAAATATATTAAAAAAAAAAAAAAAAGAACACAATTGTCCTCCGTGTAAGTTAATATATGCTGGAATCAATGATGTATGATGTAACTTAAAATCTAACCAAACCAAATGCTGTACAATATTTATTAAACTGTATTTTTTTAAATCCTCACCCAAAGATATTTTTTTCATTGATTTTGAGAGAAAGTGGAAGGGAGAGAGGGAGAGAGAGACACATTGATTGGTTGCCTCCCACATGCACCCAACGAGGTCTGGGTGCCCCTTGACCAGGATTCGAACCTGAGGCCCTTCGGTGTGAGGGGCTGAAACTCTAACCGCTGAGTAACACCAGCTAGGGCTTAAACTGAATTTTAACAGAACCCCTATATAGTCTCAATATCTCTCCCCACAAGATATTTATCAATAACAAAGAAAAATAATTTCACAGTGGAGAAACAGAAAAACACTTTCTTAACTAAGTGATCAAAGTTAGAATCACCAGTAATAAGCATATTAACATATGTGCTTATGTACAATACCATTTTTGTAATATACCTGTCAAAGTGCATAACCTAATCATAAGGAAACACCAGACAAAGCCAAATTGAGGGAGTCTATAAAGTAACAGTTCAAAAGTATTAAGATTATGAAAACAATAGAAAGACTAAGGAATTGCCCCAGATTAAAGAAAACTAAGCAGACACGACAATTGAATGGAATGTCTAATCCTGGAATGGATCCTGGGCAAGAATAAAAGATATTATTGGGACAACTGAGGAATTTGAATAGGTCTGTAGATTAGTTAAGAGTGCTATATCAATGTTAATTTCCTAATTTTGATAACTGTATTGTTTAATTATATAAAATTTCAGTTCTTAGGGAAGGGTATTCTCAAAACTATTTTTGTAGCTTTTTGTAACTATTTCAAAATAAAGAGTTCAAATAAGAATAGCTAAAAGATACAAAAAAGCTTAATAAAAAGTAAGCTTTCCTTCTATTCCTATCTTCCAGTTATCCAGTTTTCCTTCCCAGGGCATCTGTGGTTTCTGGTCATGCTCTTATTCTTTAAACAAAATTTAAACTTTAGGAAATATCACATTCAATAAATTACAAATACCCAAATTGAATTTATTAACATTTATATTGATCAATTATCTGCTTGATGTAATGTCAAAGATATCAAAAAAGCCTCTTTTCTATTTGTCTTAATGCTTTAAACAAAATCGATGTTTTATATGCTTAAATGCATTCATAAGTAGTATGTTTTATGGTATCTAGTCATTTCCTTCCTTCTCAGGATATCAATTTCACTCTGTCTCCTATTTAGGAAGGGACTTGTTCCCATCAGGAAGTACAGAATCGACTATTTGGAACTCAAGCTCATTTCCTCACAGAAATCATTGGTAGTTAGGTTTCCTGTTTAGGTTAGGAAGCAGTCAATTTAAACTATAATGCCAGATCATGAGGGGTCTTGTAGGCCATAGTAAGAAATTTGGGTTTCATGGCAAAAACAGAAAAACATAAGCCATATATGGTATGGCCAGTTAACAAGGAGTCAAGTAATTTCCCTAAATCTTAGTGAGTCTTAAGGTAAACTACAATAATACAATGTAACACTGAGCATTCAAATAAATGTCATTATAAAAAAAACCTAAAGAATGCCTTAGTATACTCAGCTTACAACAGCAGTTAAGAACATAACCTACCTAAAAATATATAGCTAAAATTTTGCTGAAATTTGAGGGATACTCAAGACATTACTTAATATATTCAGGATTGTATATTCTCCAATGGCCCTGGGCAGTCAAGGGTGTATTGCTATTATCTTAAGCTTTAGTCAACCAGCATGTACATAAGCAATGCTTCCAGGGAAAAACTCATTGCAAGTTCAATTCCGTTATTTTTTCTTAGTATCTCCAATGTGTAAGGTACTACATAAATATTTATAGGATACTAGAGGTCCAGGGTCCCTCGGCCTGGCCTGTGGGGATTGGGCCGAAACCGGCTCTCTGATATCCCTTGAGGGGTCCCGGATTGCGAGAGGGCGGTTCTCGGGTGACACACCCCGGAATCGGGCTCCCTCCTCTTTGGTTCCAGGTGTGTCACCTGAGATCCGCTGCTGCCAAGTCACCATAGCTCGGCAGCTCCTGCACTGAGCGTCTGCCCCCCTGGTGGTCAGTTTGCTTCATAACTACTGGTTGGAGCGTCTGTCCCCTGGTGGTCATTGCACATCATAGCTACCGGTCAGATGGTCGGACGGTCGCTTAGGTTTTTATATATATAGATAGTCCCTGTTTACAGAGATCTTACAATATAGTGGAGGACATAAGACATATAAATCCTGAAGCAGGGACGGGCTGGTTATGGGCTGGCTAGACTTGGTAGCAAGCTAAGAACAAGAAGTGATACCTCTAAGCACAAATAACAACTTCTTACAATTGCAAGTGAGAATACACCTTTCTTTCTCAGTCATGGTATTTCACATAAGTGAACAAAGAATGGTGTGATTAATGCCTAAATAATGGATACTGAAAATAACTTCCCTAATGCCTGTTTCTTCCTAGGTGATTCCTAAGTCAGGTATGTAAATTAGGAGCTGTGTGTTTTATGTTATGGGTGACCCCAAATGTACTTTCTAAACATTAAAAGTAAGAAAGGTAAAATTATAAGTGCAATATAGGAAAAGAAAGTCTCAAATAGCTTTTGCCTTTCTATCAATAAAATAAAGGGTTGTAACTCTTCTATACAGCACCTCAGTATATGTAGTATTTCGTTGCAAACGTAAGTATGGGGAAGGGATGGATTAAAATCACTCTTCAAAAAAAATCAGTACTATACTAAAATAAAATATGCTATCTCTTACATTATCTACAAGAATAGGGCAAAGGGAAAATGAGTAAACAAAATCATATATAGGTTCAAATTGGGTAGGAGAAAGTTTTCTAGATTAAACATTCAAAAATATTTATATCTAGAAAAGACAAGATTATTTAACAAAAAAATCAATAAATTTGTAAATTCAGATAATCCAGATATTACTAATATAGGAAAAGTATAAATTTTTAAATAGACAAATATGATACACACACACACAAACATAAAATTAGCATTCAGACTTACCGTAATAGGAGTTCTTTGGGAAGCTTTTTATTGATTACAGCTTCATCACTATTTGAGAACATCTGCAAAAATAAAATACTGTGTCAAGTGTTATACTTAACATTTTATTATGCTCAACAGTTTAGAGGTAATCCTCTTAGGAGAGAGGTAAATAATAAGTATAGTGGGTATTATAAGCCATAGTCATATTTTCAGATATTCTTTAGGCTGAAAAACATCTTTGAGATACTTAATTTGTTCCCCGTCTTTAGAAATCTTAAACTAATAGCAGTCAGTTTCATGTATTAATGTACTGAATCTTCACATTACCTCTAATCTTCATTTTACATATAAGAAAACTGAATCACAAAAGGTTTACTGCTTAAAACCACATCACTACAGAATGACCATTTAAAAATGCCATTAACGCCGAAACCGGTTTGGCTCAGTGGATAGAGCGTCAGCCTGCGGACTGAAGAGTCCCAGGTTCGATTCCGGTCAAGGGCATGTACCTGGGTTGCGGGCACATCCCCAGTAGGAGATGTGCAGGAGGCAGCCGATCAATGATGTCTCTCTCATCATTCATGTCTCTCTCTCTCTCTCACCACTCTCCCTTCCTCTCTGAAATCAATAAAAATGTATTTTTTTAAAAAAGCCAATTAGGAGCATTTAAGATCTTGTTCTCTGGTATATGTCACCAGTTTGACTAAAATAAACTCTTAAAAAAATCAAAATGCCATTAAGGTGCCCAGCCAGGGTGGCTCAGTGGTTGAGTGGCACCCTATGAACCAGGAGATCACTGTTTGATTCCTGGTCAGATCATATGCCCGGGTTGTGGGCTCGATTCCCAGGGTGGGTGCGCAGGAGGCAGCCGATTGATGATTCTCTCTCATCATTGATGTTTTTCTCCCCCCCCCTCCCTTCTCTGAAATCAATTTAAAAACAAAGAAGAAATAATTGAAAATTTGAAGGGGTAGGGCAGTAGTGAATGTACTTTCCCCTCAATCTCCGACATCCAAACAGTATCCACGATTGAGCACAGAGCCTGATACATGTTAGGAACTCATTAAATCTAATGAATGAACTGTTAAGTGGATGGTGGGGTTAGGTTATGAAGGAAATTTGAAACAATCATTTTGAGAAGAGACACCGAAAGAAATTAAACTCTGGACTACGAAGAGGATAAGCTAAGAATATACTGAAATTATAGTTCAAGTAAAATATGATGCAGATCTCTGTAAGGTTCCAGGGACAGTGGAAATAAAAAAAAAAAAAAAAAGAGGAGAAAAGAAGGATTTTAATTTTGTCAGATATAAGTATGGCTACACCTGCTTTTCTGTGGATGCTATTTGCTTGGAGAATCCTTTTGAATCTATGTTTATGGTTGCAGCTTAGATGTGTGTCCTAAAGGCAGCATATGGTTAGATTTTGTTTTTTGATCCAATCTGTTACTTTGTGCCTTTTTATTGGTGAATTCAGTCCATTAATATTTAGGGTAATTACTGATGTATGAGGATTTCCTACAGCCATTTTATCTTTTGTTTTCTGGTAGCTCTGTGCCTACATTGGTTCTTTTTCCTTTGTGTTTCCGATTGTTGTTTTATTTGGCAGTATTCCATACTTTTTTCATCTGTTTCCTCTTTTTTTAAGTTATGTGTCTCAGTTTTTTTGTGTGTGTATGTGTTTACCATTAAGTTTATGAAAAAGTAAGTGTCATTTATACAGCAGTCCTTTTTCTTTTGAATGCATTTGGGCTCCATTCTCCTTTGCAAATTCAGTCCTTTATCCATCCCCTTTTATGTTTCTGTTGTCACAAATTATCCCTGTTTATGCTGTAAGTTTGTTGATGATCTTACTTGTGGTTTTGTGACATTTTGTTCTTTGTTTCAGGTACAATAACCCCCTTGAGTATTTCCTGCAATGGAAGGCTTCTGGTGATAAATTCCCTCATCTTCAGTATGTCTGGAAAAGTCTTCACTTCTTCATATCTAAAGGATAACTTTGCTGGATATATTATTCAAGGCCAGTAATTTCTCTCTTTCAGTAGTTTGAGTATTTGGTTCTACTCTCTTCTAACTTGCAGAGTTTCTGCTGAGGAGTCCAATAACTAATAGATTTTCCTTTATAGACTTTTCTTCTTTTCCCTGGCTAAGGACTTGGTAACAAGTTGGTTTAACTACTAAGCTTCAGTGCAGCAAACACTACCTAAAAGCCTCAGCAACTGTCCAACTGTTTGACCGGTAGCAATGACCACCAAATGCTCAGACTGGTAGCTATGACACACACTGACCACCAGGGGGGCAAGCGCTCAACACAGGAGCTGCAGAGCTGCGGTGACTTGGCAGCTGCGGTTCTCGGGTGATGCACCCAGAACCAGAGAGGAGAGAGCCTGATTCCAGGGTGCGTCACCTGAGAACTGCCCTCCTCCAATCCAGGACCCCTTGGGGGGATGTTGGCGAGCTGGTTTTGGCCCAATCCCCACAGGCCAGGCCGAGGGACCCCACTGGTGCAAGAATCCGTGCACTGGGCCTCTGGTCTTATAATAAAGGTAATGTTATTGCCCTGGCTGTGTGGATCCACTGGTTGGAGCATTGTCCAGTATACCAAAAGGTTTCAGGTTTCATCCCCGGTTGGGGTGGGTACGAGAGGCAAGGGAGGCAATCAATCGATGTTTCTCTCTCTCTCTCTTCCCCCCACTTCCTCGCTCTCTAAAAATCAATAAAAATATATCCACCAATGAGGATTAAAAATAAAAGTAATGCTATTGCCTGACAATTACATGTTTTAGAAAATTATCTGAAAGTAAAGAATAATCTGCTTTCCTATAGAAGAGAGTGCGGAATCTCCCGGGGAAGGCAGGGGAGGGTGGGTGGGCAGAAAGTAATCAACCAAGGACCTTGTATGCATATATGCATGGCCCATGGACACAGACAATGGAGCAGTGAGGGCCTGGGGCAGGCAGGAGGGGTTAATGGGGGGGGGGGGGGAAGGGGACACATGTAATACTTTCAACAATAATTATTAAAAAAAAAAAAAAGGAATTATCTGCTTCCCAACAATATCTACCCATCAGTGGAAGGTATTTTTTTTAAAAAATCATCTCTCTCCTCTTCTACAACTCTAATTATAAAAAGGAACAAAATTCACACACAGTTGCTGATTGTTTTCCTTGCTTCAGTCTATACCAGTGGTCGGCAAACCGCGGCGCGCGAGCCACATGCGGCTCTTTGGCCCCTTGAGTGTGGCTCTTCCACAAAATACCACGTGCGGGTGCGCACATACAGTGCGATTGAATCTTCGTGGCCCATGCGCAGAAGTCGGTTTTCACCTGGGCGAAACAAGTATACAAGACGAGTGTGGATGGGAGAGTTGGAAGGGGTCGACCTCAGCAAACTTACCTCAATCAGATTGAGGACGTTTTTAGCAAAGGCCAGCTTAGGAGTACCTTAATGAAGTTAATAACAATGTACCTACCTATATAGTTTAAGTTTAAAAAATTTGGCTCTCAAAAGAAATTTCAATCGTTGTACTGTTGATATTTGGCTCTGCTGACTAATGAGTTTGCCGACCACTGGTCTATACAAACTGAATGCTGTTGTCTCTGTGGGAACATGAAGGCATGTGAAGGGAAAAAGGAATACACAGTATCCTGAGAGGATCTGGAAACACCAGGTGTACAGGACATCTGTCCAGATTTATATTTCCCTTATCATCCTACTGCACATATGGACCATACTCCAATTTTGCAAAAAAGGCTAAGATCAGTGGTTCATAACTGTGGTCATCTGACCAGCAGCATCAGTATCAAAAGGGGGCCTTGTTAGAAAAGCAAATTCTTGGGCTGTACTCCAGACCTATAGAATCGGCATCTGGGGTTGGGGAGGAGGTGAAGGTAAAGAGGGGCAATTTGTATTTAACAAGCCCTCAAAGTGATACTGATGCTTCCTTAAAGTTTGAGAAACAACTGACCAGATAAAGTGGATTGAGGATCTCAGAATCCAAGAAAGTACAGTTCTCACGGATAATCAGATTTTACTATTTAAGTGACACAGCAATGGAGTTTAGAAAATAATTCTAGAGGCAGATATACAATAATTTTAGATGTTTTCTAGGAAAACCAATTGGCTTCTGCTAGTTGATGGTATTGTTTGTAAAATAAATGTTTCACAGAAGCAATAGAATACATGTTTTAGATATTTTAATATTTCAGCTGAATCCAAACTCTCGGTTTCTCATGCAAAATACAAAGGATGTCAAAACTATAATGAATTACAACAAATTTGTGAAGGGTTTAAGCTGTAACTGTTGTAGAGGAAATGACTGTTCAAACATTTGACCTTCTTAGGTAATCTGGTTTTATATTAACACGGGGTTATACCATTATGTATTTTTATAATCTATCCACAAACAATTACAAGGATGTAGTCAGAGAGGAAAACATGAGAGCAACTAAACTGTTCTCTCGCTATGTTTCAAGATAGGACACCAAACTCTTAAAAAAGCAAAGGGACATGGCTACAGCCCTTCTTCTAGGATAGGACATTCTTAAATTTAAAAAAATCACTTAAATAAGTGACTTGGTTTGTCAAACATTAGCACTTATTGTTGCTTTGCATAACACTGTAATTGTTTTTCTATCATTACAGAGCTGAAAAATAGAACTTTAAATTACAAATTATAATTACATCATCTAATAGAGTTCCTGAATGGTAAGAAGCATTTTTTGTTGATTTAACCTTTTGATCAGTTTTTTTGAGATTTATTATTTTAATCAGTCTGAAATAAAAAATATGAAATGCGCCCTAACCGCTTTGGCTCAGTGGATAGAGCGTCGGTCTGCGGACTGAAAGGTCCCAGGTTCGATTCCGGTCAAGGGCATGTACCTTGGTTGTGGGCACATCCCCAGTAGAGGGTGTGCAGGAGGCAGCTGATCGATGTTTCTAACTCTCTATCCCTCTCCCTTCCTCTCTGTAAAAAAAATCAATAAAATATATTTTAAAAAAATATGAAATGCTTCACAAATTTGCATGTCATCCTTGTTCAGGGGCCATGCTAATCTGTATCGTTCCAATTTTAGTACATGTGCTGCCATAGGAGCACTCTGATCAGTTTTTAAATCTTACTTTGGCACATTTTGGGGATTAGTTTACTAACATGATGAATTTAAGTGCTTATTAGCACACAAACAAGACCCAGGAAACCAGTTCAAGAAGTTTTAAATCCAGGATCGGGGAGAGAAATGACAGGTTGAACAAAGGAAAAAAAATAAATAAATACTTGCTCAACAGTGACCCCTGCTGATAATTTAATTAAGAGTATAGTTACCAACTCCAAAAGATATTAAAAGATCTGATCTATTTTATTCAAGCTTTCTAAGAAATACAAAGTTTAATGAGTCTTTTGGCAGGGAATACTAGTTATCCCCCAATATCCATTTTCCTCTTTTAGAGTAACAGAATTCCCAATTTTTGGCTAGCACAGGGCAGTGTGAAAAAAAGACTTTATTTCCTTTGCAGTTAGATAAGGCCAGGTTACTAAGTTCTGGCCAACAGAATGTAAGAAAAAGTGGTCTGCAATTTCTGGAGTGTCCTTAAAAAGAGAAGGCATGCCCCTTCTTTACTCCTTCTTCAGTTATACTGTTTGAAATGTGGTTAGGATGACTGAACTTTGTCTTCTATCATAACGTTGAAGGCCAAGTTGTAAAAATAAGCAGAAAACTAGAAAAAGCCTGATGATGATGACTGTAGAGACACCATGACTCTGGGCTTTATATGAAGTCAAAATAAACTATTATATTTAAGTCACTTTTAATTTGAATCTGATACACATGCAGCTAAATTTATGAATATATTTTTAGATTTTACAAAGATATATTTTGTTTTTGCAAGATGAAAGTTCTGAAGATCGGTTGCCCAACAGAGTGTATTGTACACTTAAAAATGATGAAGATGGCCCTGGCAGGATTGGCACAGCAGTTGGAATGTCTGCCCGAGGACTGAAGGGTCGCAGGTTCGGTTGTGGGTTCCCCCCAACCTGTGCGGGAAGCAACCAGTCAATGTGAGAAAGACACATTGATGTTTCTCTCCCTTCTTCCCCGTTCCCTTTCACTCTCTCTCTATAAAACAAACAAACAAAAACAAACAAACAAAAACAATGGAAAAAATCCTCTGGTGAGGATTAACAAAAAATAGATGATGGCAAATTTTATGCTATATGTATTTTTTCACAATTAAAATTTTTTTTTAATATTGTCTTTTTTTAATATATTTTTTATTGATTAAGATATTACATATGTGTCCTTGTCCCCACGTTACCCTCTACCCCCCCACCCCCCCCGCTCATGCCCTCACCCCCCCCGTTGTCCATGCCCATTGATTAGACCTATATGCTTGCATATAAGTCCTTTGGTTGATCTTTCCCCCTTACCCCCACCCTCCCCTACCTTCCCTCCAAGTCCCGACAGTCCAATCAATGCCTCTCCGTCTCTGGATCAGACCTTGTTCATCAGTTTATGTTGTTCATTATATTACACAAATGAGTGAGATCATGTGGTATTTATCCGCTCTCCAGTTCCATCCATGCTGTGGCAAATGGTAAGAGTTCCTTTTTCTTCTTCTTCCTCTTCTTAAAGAATACCTTTCAGCATTTCATATAATGCTGGTTTGGTGGTGATGAACTCCTTTAGCTTTTTCTTATCCGTGAAGCTCTTTATCTGACCTTCTATTCTGAATGATAGCTTTGCTGGATAAAGTAATCTTGGTTGCAGGTTCTTGCTATTCATCACCTTTGAATATTTCTTGCCACTCTCTTCTGGCCTGCATGGTTTCTGTTGAGAAATCAGCTGACAGTCGTATGGGTACTCCCTTGTAGGTAACTGACTGTCTTTCTCGCTGCTTTTAAGATTCTCTCTTTATCTTTTGCTCTTGGCATTTTAATTATGATGTGTCTTGGTGTGGTCCTCTTTGGATTCCTTTTGTTTGGGGTTCTCTGCGCTTCCTGGACTTGTAAGTCCATTTCTTTCACCAGGTAGGGGAAGTTTTCTGTCATTATTTCTTCAAAAAGGTTTTCAATATCTTGCCCTCTCTCTCCTTCTGGTACCCCTATAATTCTGATGTTGGTACGCTTGAAGTTGTCCCAGAGGTTCCTTACACTATCTTCATATTTTTGGAATCTCTTTTCTTTTTTCTTTTTCGGTTGGGTATTTTTTGTTTCTTTGTATTTCAAATCTTTGACTTGATTCTTGGGATCCTCTTGTCTGCTGTTGGATCTCTGTAAATTATTCTTTATTTCAGTCAGTGTATGCTTAATTTCTAGTTGGTCCTTTTTCATGTGCTCCATGGTCTCACTATACTTATTGAGGGATTCATTAAATTTATCGGCGGTTTCCATAAAATTCTTGAAAAACCTTATAAACGTGGCCTTGAACTCTATATCCAGTCGTTTGCTTTCCTCCATTTCTGCCATTTGTGACCTGTTTCTTTGTCTCCGCATTTTGGCAGCTTCCCTGTGTTGATAGAGTGGCCCTGCGCGCCAGGTGTCCTGTAGGGCCCAGTAGCTCAGCCTCCCCAGTTACCTGAGGTGGACACTCTTGGTGTACTCTTGGTGCCTTGGTTGTTATAGGATCACTGGGAGGAATTGACCTCCAGGCCAATTGGCTGTGAGAATCAGTTGTGTCTAAAGTGGGAGAACTTCTGTGCTGAAGACACCCTTCTGGGGCAAGACTTGCTTCAGTGGGGCTTTGGTGCTCACTGAATCTGCTCCCTGAGTGTGTCCCTTATGGATCTGAGGAGTTGCAGTCTGGATGGTCCCCCTCTGACCACTGGGTACAGTGGCTCCTGGATCTAAGGAGGTGCTAATTCAGCCTCTGCCTGAGGCCACACAGCAGGAGCCACGAAGAGGCTCAGCTGTGAAGCAATGCAAGCCGCTGTGGGGCCTTGGGCCTTCTCTTGGAAGTTCCGGGTCTGCCTGGCTCAGCTGCAGTTAGGTACATTCACATGCAAAAGCCTCTGCCGCAGCCTGGGTGGGGCGGGGTCTCAGGGAATCAAAGGGCGGATCAAGGAGCTATGGCTGATTCTCCGCCCGGAGTCGCAGGTCTCAGTGACCCGCTAATTGCTGCAAGCACCTCTGAGGGAAAGCCGCCTTCAAGTTCGCCCGCTGCCGGACAGACCAGCTTCTCCCCGTATGAGTCCTGGGTCCCCAGAGACTTCCCGGAACCGGAGTTCAGAGCAGTCGGGAGCTTGTGATTCAAAAAGACA